GACGCGGAGGAGGAGAAGGAGGTGGAGAAGGAGGTGGAGGAGGAGGAGGAGGACGAGGATGAGGACGAGGACGACGAGGAGGAGGAGGAGGAGGAGGACGGGAAGGAGGAGGAGGAGGACGAGGAGGAGGAGGAATAGAGTAGATAAGCGGCCCCCCAAGATTTGCACGCCTCCCTCGCGATGGCCTAACCTTCGCTGCGCGAGGGGTCGCCGTGGGGGTGGGGTGGGGGGGGGGAGCGCCGGAGGACCTCTGCCCAGCGCACATCAGCGCACACCATGCCTTCGCGCCGCACTGCGCTTCGGCCTGGAGGACGAGGTTGACGGCGACGACGACGACGACGACGAGCACGAGGACGACGACAAGGACGAGGACGACGAGAACGACGACGACGACGACGACGACGACGACGACGACGACGACGACGACGACGACGACGAGGACGACGGCAAGGACGGCAAGGACGACGAGCGACGTTCCAGGGCTGCCCCTTGCATTTTTCCCCTTCGGCCCGTCCTCGGCCGCTCTCGCTGGCCGCGCCCCGCGCTCGCAGGGTGTCGGCGTGGCCTTCCACGAGGCCCCTGCATCCCTGTCGGGCGTCCTTGTTCTCCGGGTGGGCTGGAGAGGGGGGGGGGCACGCCCCGCGCAGTGCGCGCAGTGGCGCAGCCCAGCATCCCCCTTGCCGCTGCTTCGTGGGAGGCTCTTGGCTGATGCAGGCGGGCTACCGGGGGCCTCCTGCATCCCTCTTCGAAGCCATACGCATTTCGTTCCCGCGACGTGGCGGCGCCCACGTACCCCCAATGTCAATGTTCGCGCCGAGTCTGGCGACTGCAATTTTGTTTTCGGACCCCGCGGGCCGCGCTGCGCGCGTCGATCAACATTGAAATCTGGGGGCGAGGGGGTTGGATCAACACTGGCGCTTGATTTCAAGGAGGTCTGCGGAAGCCCGCCACCCGTGGCTGCCTGCAACGGGGCCCGCCTGCAGAGAGGCGAGCCCGGCCCAGCCCGGCCTCCCAGGCGAAGAGCACCGCCTCCGCCGTGTTGGGGCGGGTGATGGGCGAGCTGCGGCTCGACGCGCTCTTCGTGCCCAGCTCGCTCTCCATGCCGCAGCAGCGCCAGAAGGGGCGCGGGCTCGCCGCCGGCATGGGCGCCCCCCCAGTCGGCCGAGCCCTGCGCGGGGAGGACGACCGCGACGGGGCCGTGTCGTCGTCCTCCAGCTCCTCTTCGGACGCGGAGGCGGAGTCCGAGGAGGTCATGTCCGATGCAGAGCCCACGGAGACCTATCGGCCTCTGCGCCTCAACCGCGTGGGGATCCGAGACGCTTACCTGCAGGGGCTGCTCTGCCTGAACTGCGACGCCGCAGACCACAAACACCAGGACTGCCCCTTCCGGAAGAAGGTTCAGGGGAGAAGAGCAAATCGGTACCATTAAGTCGGGCGTGTCTCTCTACAGGAGGAAATTCAACAAAACGTAAAAACAGTCTGTTTGGGGACGATGTTTCGACTATTGTTGACTGTTGTTTTATAGCATTTGTTGGTTATTTTTCTTCCCAAACCCGCCTGCAGGAGGACATGCGCGACCTAAGAGTACTTGTTTGTTCCCCAACAGGTTTGTTGGAATTGCCACGCGAATCATTCTGGCAACGAGTGCCCGCATCGATGCCGGTTCTGCAAGGACCGCCACGACTACCCTCTCTTGGAGTGCGTCAAGAAGGTGTGCCGTCGCGTGAACGATTGGAAGAAGTCCAAGCCAGCACAGGAGCAGCGAGGTGTGCTCTCCTCTTTCGAGCAGCTGATGATCAAGCTCGAGGGATTCGAGGACCTGGACCTGGCGAAGCACAACCGCGAAGTGCAGGTTCTCATCAAGGGCCTATCAGAGCAAGGCGCCATATTCCCTGGCGACATGAACGACCTCGCAATGTCTGTCATGGACATGAAGCCTGCTGTAAAGGACAAGGTAGAGCCCGTGATACCGCCTCCGCCAGCGGGGCCGCCTCCGAAGCCTTACGTGGCCCCGAAAATTCCGAAGGAGGTGCCGCCCATGATGCCCGAGAACAAACACCCCTGGTCAGAGAAGATATTCCTGGACGAGCTGCTGTCACGGGGGATGTATGGCGCCAATATCATGAGTCGTATCATCGGTCGAGGTGGAGCCCATCACAGGCGCATGGAGCAGGAGAGTGGCGCCCGCGTGTTCTTCCGCGGGCTGGGCGTGAGCGGCCGCGATGCAGACCTCAGCGAGCCAATCGACTGCCGCTTGCACATTTCCGTCAAAGGCGAGGTGCCCCAGCAGGCCCGCAGAGTGAGGGCCATCGTGAAGGAGATCGTTGCGGAACTCGATAAGGAGATTGCCGAGAGTGGAGAGACTGGGCCATTGTTGGACAAGCCTCGCGACCCCGACGCGCACCAGTTCGGATTCCTGATACCGAAGGGTACCGGGCCCGAGAACGAGGAGCCCTTGAAGTTCCGCTTCCCAGAGGAGGACGGCCAGACCTTGAACGACCTGCTCGTGTGGCTCAAGCAGGCCAAGCTGCCTCTGGAGCTCGACTCCGACACGCAGTGGCGGACGACGTTGCAGGTCACGCCCTCGGAGCCCCCGCTCCCGGACGACGCGCCAGAAGAGGCGGAGGCCGTCGCCGAAGCGCTGGACAAGCTCATCGGCCAGTGGCAATCGCCGAGCCCCTACTGGTTCGAGGAGACCGACCTGCGACCAACAGGGATATGGTCGTCGCTCACAACGAACGAGATTGGTGAGGGCGCAGGCCCTATACTGCTCCAGCAGGGGCAGGGGGTTCGCCTCAGCGCGAGTGCCTGCGAGCACTTCGCCTCGATTCTGGAGCAGACCGAACTGCAGCATGTGGCCCGGGCCAAGATGGTGGCGGTGCTCGCCAGGCTCAGGGGTGTGGTCCGGCGAGCGGCCGAGGACGACCAGCTTTTGCTTTATCTGTCTTACCCTTGGGCCTTCTTTGCCGAGTCCACCAGCCGGGGGCTGAAGCTGCCGTTCAGCCGCGAGCAGGTGCACAGAATGCTCATCGACTTGGGCCGAGTCGGCGGCCACCCGACTGAAACGAACCCTGCGCCGCCATTCCGGGGGTTCTTCGTGGAGTGGATGCCCGTGAAGGCTGGCGCCGAAGGCGCCAAGAAGGCCTACGTCCCGCCAGTCCAGGCTGGCACCATGGCGGCCCTGCCCGGGCCGGCTCCCACCGCCCCGGCGGTGCAGGCGGCAGTCGCGCCGCAGTTTGCGGCAGCCCCGCAGCAGTGGCCGCAGGCCCACCGCCAGAGTATGGCCGAATCCGGCGCCTCGGAGTCGTGCCCGATGGATCTCGAGGAGCGGTGGATGCGTGTATTTGCCCGCCCACGCGGGCGGGTAGATATCCACCACATTCATCTAGGCCTCCCAGATGGGGTCGGAGTAGAAGGGGTCGGAGGATCGCGCAGCATCGCCGATGCATCGCCGATGCGGCTCGATGTGGAGCCCGATTTGCGTCACGTCGACGTCGCCGATGCATCGCCCACGTCGGCGATGCATCGCCGATGCATCGCCGATGTATCGGCGGTGCGGCGCGATCCCCCGACCTCATCTGCTCCGACCCCACTTGGGAGGCCTCTGATCCAACCGCTCCCCGAGCCGCGGAGACACGTCCCCGCGGCAGTGGATACGGACATACGGCCGGGCCGCTGAAACCCGGAACGCTGCGGCAGGAACGACGCGCCCTTCTCGGGTGCACCAGAAGGGCCCGGGTGCACGAGGAGGGCCAGAGGAGCTACCACGGAACGGGCCAAGAAACATCGGGAAGACATTTTGTCGGGTTCGGAGGATGGGGCTGGGAGCAATAGGGATGTCATTACCCGTAGGCGGTCGAAGGTATCCTGCGTCGCATCCGAATGCTCCTGCTCATACCCTTCATCCTCCCAACCCCTTCCTCCCAACACGATGGTTGTTCTTCTCATAAGCAGCGAGCCCCCTTCGAGCCCAGAGCGGTCTCTGCTTCCGCGCCCTGGCCCACTCCGGCGGCGCACGCAGGCGGCCGCTGCCGCGGCGCCGCCCTCCGCGCCGGCGCCGGGCGGAGGCTCCGGGGCGCCCCGGGGCTTCTGCAAGTACTGGCTGCCCGAGGCGGTGTTCGGGTCCGGGCAGGACCTGCGCGAGCTCATCGCAGGGCCAGGTCGGCCAGACGTATAGGGGGGCCTTCCGCCGGAGTGACCTTTCGGTGCGGGGCCAGGGGGGTCCCCCGATCGCCGAGTGCGGTGCGGCAGGGGTTTCTTGCTCGCGGGGGTTTGGTCTCCCCCCCCGCGGACCCCCAAGAAGCCGCGCACACCAGAGGTCACTCTTAGGTACCCAGGGTCACCCTTGCGTGTAGCCGGCCAGGGGGGGCTCACTTCGGGCACGTGCTCAAGAAGTGCTCGTCGGGCCCGGAACATCCGACACGAAAGTTTGACCCTGCTCAGCATCGTCAAGTTGTCCCCGTCCCAAGTGGGTCATGGTACATTCAACCCGCATAGGAAGGATGGGCATCCTTTTTGCACATCCTTATGATTCGGGCCGACTGCATCTTGGCACCACCAGCCCACCCTCCTAGGTGGGCAAAGGCCCCGCGAAACCCTGAGGAACAGGCGTGTTTACCCACCTAGAGATGGGTAAGTCGGCCAGTGGGGCCACGGCTACGCCAGTGGGGATAGGGATCGGTTAAACAATGCCCGCATGCATCTCGTAAGCGGTTCCTCCCTAGTCCGGACGTCAAGGCGTCAAAGCATGCATTTGTCGAGGGTTTGGGCTCCTCCAGACTTCCGGCATCATGTCTTTAAATCCGTAGGCCTAGGAATTCTCGCCTCCTTCCGCAGGGAGTGCCTCTCGCTCTGGGCCACTTTTGGACTGTCTCGGGGCCCGACAGCGGCTCTCGGATGCCGAACTTCGTGCGATCCCCACCGGAGAACGCGAGGCGGGGCACCCACCCAGGGAGCACCGGGCCCCTTAAGGCCTGGCGGCCGCGTTATGCAGTCGTCGTTCGTCGAAGACGAAGACGCGAGGCGGGATAGCCAGGGAGCGCTGGGACCCTTGGGGCCTGGCGGCTGCGGTTTACACAAGTTTACAGGGTGTGCGAGGCGGCTCGGGACCCTTTCCCTTCAATTTCACAGCCCCAGGCATGCGATGCCTTGATTTGAAAGAGCGTGTTCTACCGCTGCTAGCGGAAAACCGGGGGGGGGGGTCACTACCGGTTCGAACCCCTCCCACCCACCCCCTCCGGAAAACCGGGGGGGGTCACTACCGGTTCGAGCACCTCCCCCCCCCCCCCCAGTTCATCATGAAAAGGGGGGGGTCGCTACCGGTTCGAACCCGCCCCCCCCCTCGAGCTCGAAAACCGGGGGGGGTCACTACCGGTTCGACCACCCCCCCCCCCGAAAACCGAGGGGGGGTGCGGACAGTGGTGGGGACGGTGGTGGTGGGGACAGTGGTGAGGGGACAGCGGGACAGCGGTGGGGACAGTGGGACAGTGGTGGGGACGGTAGTGGTGGGGACAATGGTGAGGACAATGGTGGGAACAGTGGGGACAGTGAGACAGTGGTGGGGACGGTGGTGGTGGGGACAGTGGTGTGGGGACAGTGGGAATGTGGTGGAAACAGTAGGACAGTGGAGGGTACAGTGGTGGTGGGGACAGTGGTGAAGGCGGTGGCGAGGACGGCGGTGGGACAATGGGACAGAGGTACAGTGGGGACAGTGGTAGGGACAGTGGAGACAGTGGTGGGAACAGTGGGACAGCTCAGTGGTTCGAACTGATAGTGACCCCCCCCTCCGGTTTTCGAGAGGGGGGGTGTGGGTTCGAACCGGTAGTGGCCCCCCCCGGTTTTCGAGCTCGAGGGGGAGGGGGGGTTAGGGAGGAGGGGGGTTTGCCGGGGGAGGGGGGGGGGGGGGAGGGGTTCCAGCAGGGGGGGGGGGGGGGAATTTTTCGGAGGGGGGGGGGGGGGGAACCCCGGGTTCCGGAGGAAAAGGGTGGCAATTTTCCACAGTAAAGCGGCGGTGGATCACGCTCTCTCCTTGATTTTATCAATGCGCGGTCCCCAGAAGTCCCAACCCTTTCCCGGGGCTGGCTTTCATCCCGGGTCATTTTCTGACCTCCCTGGGGCCCGGCGAGGGCTCCTAGAGGCCGAAAGCGACAACAAAGTAATTCATGTGTTTGTTCGCGAGCATGTCTGGGTTCGCAACTTGTTTTATGACGTTCCCACCTACTTAAGCCTTGATTCAACAGAAAGAGTCTCGGGCGCCAGGAGAGTACCAACACTGGAGGGTTTTCACCTGCAGGGCCCTAGGAGGCGATTCTCATTCGACGCTTCACTGGCGTGTCGGGCAGACACTCTTTCAATACGCTTCTGGGTGCTCGAAATGATTTCTGGGATGCGGCCCTTCAGTACGACGGGAGCAGCATAGAACCTGCTGGGTGGGGAATCGCGACGGGCGCCTGGCCCTGCCAGGTACCCGTCCGTCGACCTGCGCATCGAGGGGCAGCCCTCCCTCGCGGCGCCGCCGGCCCACCGCATCCACCTGTCCATGAGCACCGAGGCTCGGGGCAGGGAAGATCTGCAGGGAAGGCGAGATTCGGCCTCCTGGCCTTCTCCTCCTCCTCCTCCTCCTCCTCCTCCTCCTGGCCTCCTCCTCCTGGCCTGCTCCTGGCCTCCTCCTCCTCCTCCTCCTCCTCCTCCTCCTCCTCCTCCTCCTCCTACTCCTTTCCCTGGCCTGCCGATCTTCTCCCCCCTCTCCTCCTCCTCCTCCTCCTTCTCCTCCTCCTCCTCCTCCTCCTCCTCCTCCTCCTCCTCCTCCTCCTCCTCCTCCTCCTCCTCCTCCTCCTCCTCGGTTCAGCTCCTCGGGCTCTTGCTTTCAGCAGGTCATCCGATCTCGGCCGTGCCCAAGCGGTCATCACAACAACGAGCCCGCCGCGAAGCAGCGGCAAAGCCCTTCACTTTGTCATCGTCATCAGCATCATCATCAGCAGCAACATCAGCATCATCATCAGTATCATCAGCATCAGCACCATCATCATCAATATCATCATCATGATCACCATCATCGTCATCATCATCATCACCAGCAGCAGCATTATCCGCATCAGCATCATCATCAGCATCATCATCATCATCATTACCATCATGAACACCATCATCGTCATCAGTACCACCATCAGTATCATCACCATCATCATCGTCATCGTCATCGTCATCGTCATCATCATCAGCGTCATCAACATCAAATTCATCATCAGCATCGTCATTACCAGCATCATCATTCGCGTCAGCATCAACATCACCATCGTCATCATCATCATCATCATCATCATCATCAGCATAATCATCCTTAAGATCATAATCATCATCACCATCATCACCACCATCATCGAAAATAGCATCTTCATCATCAATCCCACCATCATTGCCATCATCATCATCACCATCATCATCATCATCATCATCATCATCATCATCATCATCATCATCATCATCATCATTATCAGCATCATCATCATCATTGTCATCATCAGCAGCAGCAGAAACATCATCGTCGTATTCATCAGCACCAGCGTCGTACTCACAATCGTAATCATTATCATCATCATCGTCATCAACAGCGACATCGTCATCATCATAATCATCACCAGCATCGTCGTCATGTTCATCAGCGTCATCAGCATCAAACTCATCATCAGCATCATCATAACCAGCATCATCATTCGCGTCAGCATCAACATCACCATCGTCGTCATCATCAGCATCATCATCCTTATGATCATCATCAGCATCACCATCATCACCACCATCATCGACATTAGCATCTTCATCATCATTGCCATCATCACCATCATCATCATCATCAGCAGAAGCACCATCGTCGTATTCATCAGCCCCAGCATCATACTCACAATCGTTAGCATTATCATCATCATCATCTTCACTAACAACGACATCGTAATCATCATTCGCATCATCATCGTCATCAGCATCATCATCCTTATTATTATCATCATCATCAGCAGCACCACCATCGTTGTAATCATCAGCACCAGCATCATACTCACAATCATAATCATCATCGTCATCATCGCCACCAACAACGACATCGTCATCATCATCGTCGTCATCGTCATCGTCATCGTCATCAGCATCATCATCCGCATCATTATCAGCATCAGCAACGTCATCATCATCACCATCACCATCATCGCAATATTCGTCTTCATCAGCATCATCGTCGGAAGCATCATCATCGTCAGCATCATCAGCAGCACCGTAATCACCATCATGATAATCATCACCATCATCATCAGCATACAGTAGTCATCGTCATCACTAGCATCATCATCATCATCGTCATCATCATCACCTTCAGCATGAGCATCCTCAACATCATCCTTAGCATGATCATCATCGGCAGCATCAAAACCATCATCAGCAGCGTCATCATCATCAGCACCACCATCATCATAACTCGCATCAGCACCAGCATCAGCTTCGTCATCGTCATCATCACCATCGTCATCCACATGATCATCATCATTATTGCCTACTTCTTATTGTTCTTCCTCATCGTCGTAATCATCAGCATCCTTCTCCTCATCTTCATCAGCAGCATCGTCATCCTCATCGTAATCGTTATCAACAACGACATTGGCATCCTCACCATCATCATCACCATCCTCATCAACATCATCGTCATACTTAACCTAATATTATTCTTCTTCTTCTTCTTCATCGTCATCGTCATCATCAGCACCAGCAGTATCATCGTCAACACATCACAGCCATCACATTCGTCATAAGCATCATCAGCATCAAATTTATCATCAACATCATGATCATCACCAGCATCTTCATCTTCATCAGCACCAGCATCAGCATCTTCATCATCATCAGCATCATCACCGTCAACAACATCATCGCCTTCTTCCCTTTATTCACCATTGTCGTAGTCACCATCATCATCAGCAGCATCATCATCCTCGTCATCATCAGCAGCATCGTCATCACAATCGTAATCGTCATCATCATCATCAAAAACGACATTGTCATCATTGTCATAATCATACTCATCCTCATCTTCTTCTTCTTTATCATCATCATCATCATCATCATCATCATCATCATCACCATCATCATCATCATCATCATCATCACTATCATCATCACCATCATCATCACCATCACCACCATCACCATCACCATCATCAGCATCACAAACTCCTCTTAGTTGATCGTGTCGTCGCCGTCGGCGTTGGCCTCACGGATGATCTCATCGACCTTCTCGTTGGCGAGGTTCTCTTTCAGGTCCTACGTGCGATCTCTCTTCTCCAGCTGCCTCTCTCCCAGACGGCAACAAAAGAGTGCCCGAGAGCACCAGCCTTCGGTCTTCCATCCAGGGGACTCCATGAGAGGCCCGTCGGTCGGAGCGCCTACCCCAGCTCATTTCCTCCCCGAAGGGGCCCTCCTCCCCTTCCGGGGAGGGTCCGAACGTCACAACAAATATGCTGCCGCATGCGAGGCTACAAGGAAGCGCCCAGAATAGAGGTTGCACCCCCCCCTGCGCGGTGCAGCAGGGAGCCGGCCATCCATCCAGCTGGTGCCCCGCGGGGATGTCTTGTAGCCCCTGGATGGCCCAGGGCACCAGAGGGCGGCCTGCGACGCGGAAGCTCAGATGCCCCACGAGCCCCTCGATGTATTGTGGTGAGATGTCTTCTCTTATGGGGCTTTCGTCGGTACCCCAATCCTCAGCCTGCCCCCCTTGTTGTGGCTCATGGCGACACGGTGCCTCTGCCGTTGACGCCCTCGGCCGAATGCCGAGAAAGCAGTTGAAGGTATATCGTCCAACATATCCCCATCCCCGCTGGGCCATGGTAACCACTTGGTATAGCTCGGGCGTGTGCATTTTTTCTCGGCGGGGATTGCTAAAGAGCATCCTGGATCATCCTGCGAGAAAAAGCCACGCACGAGACCGAAACAATCACAGGGAATGGATGTCCGAGCGACGGGGAGGGCATCTCAGCCCCACAGGCCCACCTTCCTGGGGTGGGGATGGGCCCAGCGAAGCCCGACGGAACAGGCGTGTATACACCGTAGACCCACCCCGGTGGGTAAGTCGGCCAGTGGGGCCAGGGCTGCGCCGGTGGGGACAATTAGGGATCGGTTCAACTTGGCCCATCCTCCCCACTCCAGTGTGCGAGCCTCGCCAGCCCTGCTGCTCTGGCTGCCACGGGAGGTGTCCGAGATCTTCGAGAACGCCGCTGCCGACGTGCTCGACCTCGTGGAGACCGTCTGTGACATGGTCGGGGAGGAGCTTGGCATGAGCGAGGATCAGGCCTGGCGAGGGCGAATGGAGGAAGGAGGAGGAAGAGGAGGGAGGGAGGCAATGAGGAGCGAGGGGGCGGGGAGGAGGGAGGAGGGAGGGAAGGAGGAAGGAGGAGGGATGGAGGGAAAGGCGGCATGCGCGGAGCGAGATATCGATAACGGTCCGCTCTCCACCCATGCAGCGGCCGACTGCGTTCCCAAGACGACGGCGCGCGGCACGAAGGCGAGAACCAGACTTTGAAAACGGTCTGGCCCGTGAAGCTGCCTGGCACCGCAAGCTCTACGATGTTGGGCCGTAGGGGAAGTCTGTAGCGAAACGCCCAGAGCACCTTGCCGTCAGGTCTGCGGGAACAGTTTAGGAAGGGAGCGGATAGAGATAAAAGGGGTGGAGGAGGTAAGAGCAGGAGGGCAGAGGGAGACATGTCAGCAGGAGGAGGAGGAGGAGGAGGGCCTCCAGGAGGAGGATCAAGAAGGAAGGACGAGTAAGGAGAGCACGAGCACGAGTGGGATCAGGAATTGGAGGAGGAGCAGGAAGAGGAGGAAGAAGGCGACAGAGGATGATGCTTTATGATGCTCAGGATGAGGAGTAGTGTGAGGAAAACGAGGATGATGAGGAGGGAGAAGGATGAGTTGGGAGGGCCAGAGAATAGGATGGCAGAAGAGGGCGGTGGAGGAGAGGAGGCGGAGCTGCAGCAGCTGCAGTAGCAGCAGCAGTTCTATGAGGAGTAGGATGAGGGGTAGACGTCTGCGAAGTACCGTCTACTCATCGCCCATGGGTGAACGAGTTTATCATGCCGCACGCGAGCTAGCTATCTTGTCAGTCGGGCACCAGTCGGTGAGGTGTGGACGACGCATCGGCGACGTTACGGCGTTCTATTCCCCCCTGGAGGGGAGGGTAAGGAGGAGGAGGAGGAGGAGGAGGAGACTGAGGAGACTGAGGAGAAGGAGAAGGAGGAGGAAGGGGAGTTCGAGGAGGAGCCAGAGTACTAGGAAGGAAGAAGGGAAGGGAAGACAGAAACGGTGGGCGGAGGAGGAGGCGGAGCCCCCCCCCGCTGACCCCCAGCCTCGGCCCGCCAGGTGGAGGGCCTGATCCAGGAGATCCGCGCCGAGAAGTACTTCGAGGCCCACGGCATCCGCACGCCGCTGCCGCCCACGAAGCGCGCCGAGCCCGCCGAGCCTGCGCCGGCGCCCGCGCCCGTGCAGCCCGTGGCGCCCTCCCAGGCCGCGCCGTCGGCGGCGCCGACCGCGGCGCCGTCGTCTGCGGCGCAGGAAGCCAAGGGCGCGGCGGTCAACCTTCACACTTCCCAGAGCAACGAGAACCCAAGTGGGGCATTCCAGAAAGGCCTCGCCTTCGAGAGTGGCCCTCTCTCCCTCGGCGAAAGGCGGCGGAAGCCGCTGGAAGTAAAGCGAGGCCGGCCTTCCGCCGGCGGAAGTTGGCCGAAGGCAGGCCTGAAGCCAGCGGAAGCCGGCGGAAGTAATAAATTGCCTCCACGGCAACATTGTTGCGTTCAGGGTTTTCGAAACACGCAAAGTGATTATTTGGCCGAATTTTTCCAGCTGAATTATTCGGGCTGAGTTTATCGGGCCGATTATCCGGAATCGTCTTCGAGAGCCGCAACGGGCGTTTCGCGCGCCTACGGCCCTCAAGAGGCAAGCCCGCGCGAAGCACATCAGGCAGGCGAGACCTTGTTCAAACGAGCGCAGTTTGCACAAGCCCATTGAAGCGCCAGTGCCATCCTTCGAGCGGGTTGGATTTCAGCATTGCTGCTCGCAGGTCCCCCACGAGAGAGCTGAGCTGGAAAGAGCCATCCAGAGAGTCGATAAAAGAGTGTGGCCGAGACGAGAAGATCAGAGCCGAGGGAAGGAACACCCAAACCAACAGCAGAACGAAAGAGGGCGAACAGTGCTCAAACTTTGGGTGGCTAGAACATACTGCACAGCCACTCCGCAGAGTAAGGATGGGCAACCTTCCCAAGAGCGTTTCCCTTGCATCCCTGCCTTCTCGGTTCATCGTTGGCCACTTTCGTTGGCCGCGCCCCGCTCGAAAAGCTTCAAAGTGGGCGTCCAAGGCCCTTGCATCTTTGTCGCGCATCCTTATGATACGGGCCGGCTGTAGTCACATTTCTTGCTTTAGCGCAGCCATCCTGAATGACAAACAACAAGTCTGCTGAGCCAGCGCAACGCCCCGCTCACGCCTTGTCTCCTTCGGGATTGCTGCCCTAGGGCAAGAATTGTGCGTAGCCGCAAAAAGTTGTGTAGGCACGCGAGTATCTCGTCCGAAAGCAAATTCCCCCCCTAGAGCAAATCCCGTTCAAGACAACTGATCAGCCAGGCCAGCGCAGACACAAGATCTTGCGTGACCACAAGCAGTTTGGAAGTCACCCGCTCCCCTCCCCCCTCCTCCCCCCCGTCTTCCTCCTCGTCCTTCCACGCCCCCCCGCGATCCCCCGAGGCAACGTCCCCGCCCCACCCCCCGCCTCGGCCGCGTCGTTCTGGAGACACGGTCGCGCCTCTTCAGCCGACGCTGGGGATGAAAATGCGCATGTGGTGCTTGCGTGTCACTCCTCCCCCTTCTCCCCTCCCCTTTGAGTCCAACACCCACTGAGACAAGGGCGAGGAGGAGGGTAGGGTTGCCGAGCTCCCCTCCACACCTCCAGGGCCCTCCTAGCCTCAAGATCCATTTTCCGTGGCCGTCAAGATGCCCAAGATGCTCAGTGGGGTCGAGCTTTTTCTGGGCCGAGTTTCTCCGGCCGAGTTTTTCCTTGCCGAGTTTCACCGGCCGAGTTTCGACAGCCGGGTTTTTCTAGATGAATTTCTTTGGTTGGATTCATTTGGCGCTCACACTGTAGCCGGAGCGCCAGCCGAGTTCAAAGGGCCGAGTTTAGTTTCCAGTTGGCCGAGTTTAGCCGGGCCGAGTTCAGTTCGGCCGAGTTTTTCTTGGGCCGTGTTAAGCCTGGCCGAGTTCACCTGGCCGAGTTCATAGTGGCCGAGTTCAGTGGGCCAAATTTTTCCTGGCCGAGTTTAACTGTTGCCTTTTGGCACGACATACTAGGACGCAACAGTCACGTTGATTCGCGGTGTTGAAGTCCCAGGAGTTGCGTGTTTTGGCTTGTCAGGACGCAACAGGCACGTTGATCCGCGGCGTTGAAATTCAAGGAACGCTGTGCTTCTGGCACGACTGGAATCTCAGACGGTGGTCTTCTAATGCGCCGCTTCCCGGAATGAAAACAATTTTGTTTCAGGGACCTAATGGAGAGGGAATTTGGAGGGAGGGTTTATTGCAATATCGTTGATGCGTGTTGAGTTTACACTGGCCTTCCTTCTCCTGCTCCGTCTCCTCCTCCTCCTCCTCCTCCGTCTCCTCCTCCTCCTCCTCCTCCTCCTCCTCCTCCTGATCATCATCATCATCATCATCATCATCATCATCATCATCATCATCATCATCATCATCATCATCATCATCATCATCATCATCAACATCATCAACAACAGCATCATCTTCATCAGCATCATCATCTCATCTCATCAGCATCGTCATCATCATCATCATCATCATCATCATCATCATCATCATCATCATCAGCATCATCATCATCATCATCGTCGTCGTCGTCGTCGTCGTCATCATCAGCATGATCATCCTCTGCGCCAGCCGAACTTCGACTCCTCTCTTGGAATCCTCCTCCTCCTCCTCCTCCTCCTCCTCGTCATCCTCCCTGCTCCTCCCTCTCCCCTCTCCCCTGCATCACGCTCCGCCCCTGCACGCCTCTCTCCGCCTGCCCTCCCCGTCAGGACCCTGCGAGGGACACCGCCGACTTCGAGTTCATCGACGAGGACATGGAGGCGGGCGAGGGCGGCGGCGCTGGCGGCGACTCGGACACGGAGGACGACGCCCGCACGGAGGCCCCGGACCTGCTGTCCGACGTCACCGACAACGAGGACGGCGTGGGGCAGCGTCGGGGAGGGACCGCACATGGACATTCTATTCGAACCCTATGGCCCGAGATGCCCCCCAGACGCCCCGAAACTAATATTGATGGCGTGGCGACGGGGGGGCGTGGGTGGACAGAAAGATTCGAACCCCAGAGCACCGCCTTTACTGAGATCGACATTGATGTCGGGGGCGCGGGGGTGATTTAGAATCTCCCTCGAATGTGTAAGGGTTCGAATATCTTGTCCATCTACTGGAGGGGCTCACTGGGTGGGAGCGGCCACGCTGTCGGGCGTTCTCGTCGGGCCTCGGCGGCCTTCCAGGCTCGGGGTGCGGTCCCGCAGTTGCGCCTCGCGGAGAGCGTTCTGGGGCCGCCCAGGTCGTCCCGAACGACCGCCGGAGACCCGATGCATGGCCCAAAAATCACCTCTACAGGATGAAAATTCAAAATTATCCGTTTAAGTCTGAAGACGATGTTTTGACTATTGTTGACCATCTTCGATTATGGTTCGTCTATTTTTCATTTTTTCCTCCAAGATCCGCCTGTAGGGGGACATGCCCGACCTACGAATGAGCAAGGCGGGGGGGGGTCGCATCGGCCCACAACCGCCCAGTGGTCGCCGACGGGTGCCTGATGGCCCCACCCAGCCCAGGAGCGTGCGCATTCGCTATCGGGCCCGATCGCCGATCCATCGGCCATGCATGGACGATTCAAGCTCGATGTTCCCGCCCCCCCCTCAAGTTGCCCTGCAGAGGACGACGACAGGGCGAAGGCGGCCGCAGCGTTCGACGACATCTGACGGCACGGGGCTGCCCCTTGCACGCGCAGGCGCGAGCCGTTCGGCACGATGGTGCCGATCGTGTTGGGAGGGTACTTATCAGACATTATTAGGCGCCGCTGAATATCCGTCCATCCGAAAAGGCACGCGCGTCTTCCCTCGACCGTTCCCCGCCCGTTTTTGTGTACGATGCTCCCTCCCGTTCTGAGCCGCTGAACCGCGGCCTGTCCACAGGCTCGATGATCTCCCTATCTCATGTCACTGTTTTCTGTTTTTTGTGTATCGCCTTTTCGATGTGCTGTTTTTTTGTTTCTCTCTCTCTCTCTCTCTGTCTGTCTGTCTGTCTGTCTGTCTGTCTGTCTGTCTGTCTGTCTGTCTGTCTGTCTGTCTGTCTGTCTGTCTGTCTGTCTCTCTCTCTCTCTTATCCCCCCCTTGTTCGCTGCCGTTTCGGTGTGGCTGATCATATTTTTTATGTTGCATTTGTCTGAAATGATATGTCCCCGCCCCTGTTCCTCCCATCCTCCCGCGCCACTCCGTCCCTGCGTCCCTCATGATTTGCATCCCTCGTTCTTCCCCCCACGCCCCCCTCGTGCTCTGTGCTTGGCTGGGCGGGCCACGCCACCATGTGCAGCGGGAGGAGAAGGAGGAGGAGGTGGAGGAGGAGGAGGAGGGAGAGACCAAAGAAGAAGAGGAATAAGCAAAGTCATAAATATAAGATTCTGGAACTCCGCTCGGATCTCTTGGATCGGGGCTGGACACCCCATCCCTGGCGCGCGGAGCGCACCAGGGGGCGGCGCCGGAGGCGTTGGAGGCCTGCACGGGACATTTCTGGTGGCCGCTGGAGACTTCTCCAGAGACCGAGAGGCGAAGGAAAGGCAAGGTTCGGCGGCGAGCCCATGGGGGAAACGAGAGGGGGCATGCCTTCGCAGAAGGCGACGGGTTTCCTCAGAATCCCTTGCGCCTTCTGAAAGGCCGTCTGTGTCTTGGGACAGAGCTCAGGAAGCTTCTCAGAAGGCTGGAGGTCCTCTGAGCCTTCCGAGAAGCGCCGCCCCCTCTGCCTTCCACCATGCCTCCTCCTCTTCCTCCTCCTCCTCCTCCTCTTCCTCCTCCTCCTCCTCCACTTGCTCTTCCTTTTCCTCCTCCTCCTCCTCTCTCTCCTCCTCCTCCTCCTCCTCCTCCTCCTCCTCCACTTCCTGCTCCTTCTCCACTTCCTCTCCCTGACGCCGCTGATCTAGAAGCCGCAGCTCGACTCGCTGGCGATTCTGCTCCAGGACCCGACCGATTTCCTTATCGGGCGTGGATTCACTCTCCACGAGTTCATGTCCTCCAGGACTGCTGCCGGACCGATACATCACGACTTCAACCACGCGCTGCTAGCCATGCTGCCCAAAGGCGACGAACCACTCGGCAACTCCGAGTGCATCAGGAGCCCTGACTGTCTCCGCCCGCTCGCCATGAATAACAGTGATGTGAAGATCATTGCTGCGGCCGCCAACCGCCAGCTCCACATCGTCGCAGCTGATACCGCGGAAGAGCAGCAAGGCTTCGTCAACGGCAGGCAGTTCCTGAACAACATCATCACGGTCGACTCCATCGCACGGCAGACGAGTATCTCTGAGCAGGCTGATGTCCTCATGCCCTGCTTTGCGAGCATGGACATCGCGGCCGCCTTCCCCAGCCTCAACCACGCGTGGCTCTGGGAGATCCTCTCGCGCTGGGGCATCCACGGCCAATTCCTCGCGCTGCTCCGCGCATGCTACCAGTTGCCCGTCGCCTTCCTGGAGCTGGGTGGTTGCCTGCGCCCGCTGCTCATCGCCGAGTCTGGCGTCGCCCAAGGCTGCCCTCTGAGTGGCACGTTGTGGGCGTTCAGTTTCGACCCCATCATCAAGGGCATCAAGCACGAACTGGACCGCATTGGTCGCGGTCGCATCGGCGCCTGCGCCGACCACCTCGGCATCATCCTTGCCGCGCTCCGTGACATCGAACACCTTCTACCACATCTACAAGCCGCACAACAATTTGCTGGCCTCCACCTGCAAGCCAAGAGATGCATCCTGGTGCCCACATGGTCGCCCCCTACCCCAGCCCTCACCACGCGCATCCAGACCATCCTCACGTCCACCTCCCCTGGAATGGTTTCAAGATCAAGAGCCACGCCCGTTACTTGGGCGCGTTCATTGGGCCTGGTGCGACACTTGACTCTCAGTGGAAGAACCCTGCTGGCAAATGGTGGGAGGGGCTCCAGATACTTGGCGAATCTAGAGCGCCTCTCCAACAAACCATCAAGCTGTACAACGTCGCTGCCGTCTCCTGCTGCACGTGCACCGGCCAACTCTACCCGCCCACGCCCAACATCCCCGTGGAAGAGATCCACGGTCTCCGCAAGCTCCTGCGCGCAGTTCCGTCCAGCTTCACCAAGATGGACATCTTCTCCTTCAGCACATGGGCTGGCGCTGAGGTCCCCCAGGGAGTTGAAACGTATATTGCGTCAACAATGCGGCGCGCGACGACGACGACACCCACTGGCTGGATTTTTCTTTTCAAGAACATCGGGCACTTGCTGAGGATGGACTTCACTTGTGCAAGTTCTGGGCGGTGTCTGGCGTGCTGATTGCTTGCTCGACAGGGTTTCGGCCACCCAGGGTCTCGACCTCATAACCAAAGGCGACCTATTCCCCACGGGCAAGGGCTCCATCCACAAGACCTTCGTGCGCTCGCTCGGCGCAGTATCCCGCGCCACGGCTACGCTCTCGGAAGCGCATGGCCGAGCTGTTAACGCTGGTCGCATGACTGTTTCGCATCGCGGTCGTGACAGGGCCGCGCGTGCTCAAGAGGGCGAAGGGGGATTCAGGAAGTTGCGCACGTCACCACAGCAAGCGTTTCGACGGGAACTCGAATGTGTCCTCTACTGCGACGGTTTCCACAAGACCATTTTGAAGCGTTTTCAAGCATGGCATCCGCTTCTGGGCCCTCCGCCTCCTCGACCCCCTCCGCGTAGACCTCAGCAGCCCCGACGGCAACAGATGCCACCTCCTCTGGAACCCACCCAACATCCGACCACTTCCAGCGCCGCCGACGCCACCGCGAACTCCATGAGCTACCTGCACGAACGCACTGCTGCCTGGGCGGAGGGATGAACCCCGTCAATCTTCATGGGCGCTGGCTACCACAACTGCTATGACTGGATGGAGTTCTGCGTCCCTTACGTGACAGCAGTTCTGCGCAGACAGCAGTGTAGCGCCACCTCCTGCATGGGCGACTACATCGGCAACCAGAATGCCCGCCGTAACACGGCCGTGGATCTATGCGAGTTTGCATAGCAGCGTTCGGAATGTCCTCGCGCTCGTCGTCTGCAAGTCTACTCACACTCACAACCAACAGCTGCTGTACAGCGCGATCGTGAAGAAGAAGTAGCCGCTGAACACCGCGCACGCAGACGATGGCTCGAACGTGAGGGTCCCGCTCGTGATGAGGACCTCTGGCTTCCTGATGATGCGCGTGGGGACCAAGCTCATGTCCTTCGGCACGAACTCCTCGGTCTTGCCGAATGGCCAGAGTCGCTGGCTGCGGGATGGCTGGTCCTTCGTGGCCATCTGGTTCGAGCCCCGCCTTCGTCGCTGCGGCCAACCCTCAAGACGTTGTCGGCCCCCCAGACCACGAGCCGCCACATGCACGTACACCCCATCAAGCATTCTTGCCTGCACGGGTGCTCACTGAAAGAGAGTGAGCGCCCATAACATCGACGACATCAGCCACTACATGACTTGTCCGAGGATGTGGTCACACCTGTGCCTGCCGAGGGGCCAGGCCTCGGGCTCCATCCTGACGCGCATGGCGCTCAACGGCAACAGGATCGGCGACGACCACATCGACCACGCGATCGCTCGCCTCGCGGTCGCCTTCAAGACCTACAACTACCTGCGGGTGCAGCGCGAGAACCACGGGCTGCCGACCACGACCTGCCACTACACGAGGCTCCAGCCCGATGGTGAGGACCACCCGAACTCCGCCAACGAGATCAGGGTGCCCCTCCACAAGCAGGACTCCTACAGGAACAACGCAGCGGCCGTCGCCGCCTCGCGTCGCGCCCTGAGGCTCCCACTGTGCCTCGTCGGCGGCGCGGGGCCGCGCAGGCGCTGATGACAAGAGACGAGCGCCTCCCTGAGCTCGTCGTTCGCTCCTCCTCATCCTCCTCCTCCTTCTCCTCCTCCTGCTCCTGCTCCTGCTCCTGTTCGTGCTCCTCCTCCTCCTCCTCCTCCTCCTCCTCCTCCTCCTTCCCCCTCCTTCCCCCTCTCTTCCTCCTCCTTCCCCCACTCCTCCTGTGCGCCCGCGGGGCCGCCCGCCCGAGAGATGGCAGGACACGCCGGGCGCTGCGCCGCGCGCGGGCCGCCGAGCCTTCGCCTCCGCCGGGCGCGGCGGCGACGCAGAGGTCCTTCGGGGGGGAGGCACGCCGGGGGGAGAGGCGTGCTGGGCGCGGCTCTTCAGGGAGCATCGAGGATCGGTGAGCATCGAGGATCGAGTCGAGGATCGAGGGTGGAGGATCGAGGGTCGAGGATCGAGTCGAGGATCGAGTCGAGCCTCGAGGAGCCTCGAGAGTCTCGGGGAGCGCCGCGGGTATCCAGGACACGTGGGTGCTCTGCGTTTGGGGGCTCGCGCCAGGCCTCCCATGGAACCCCCTCGCCGCGCCTTCGGCAGGACCTGCCTCCAGGTCCCCGGGAGGAAGGGTGGCAAGGGTGGGCGTGCATTGCGCTCTTCCCCAGAGATTCAGGTGTCGGACACAAGTCAGCAACACTCGTGCAGAACAGATGGTTTGAACTCCCCCCCCTCCCCCCCGAATTCAATATTGGTTTCGGATTTTCCGATTTTGGGCCTCCGAGTGGTCTCCAAGGAGCGTGCCAACTTGAATTGCGGGGGAGGGGGGGGGTGTTGCTGAATTTCTTCCCTCAACCGTCCAACGCACTGAAAAATCAATACGGAGGTGGGCCCTCGCCGGGCCCCGGCGGGGCTGGCAGACATCGGCACAGGAGGAAACGCCGGTCTTGGGAAAGGGGTCGAGACTTTCAGGGGCCTCGTTTTGACAAAATCACGACCTCGGATCTCTGGGTCCCCCCCCCATGGTCGAGCCCTGAGATCCGACGTCGCCAAAAAATTACAACGTCGCAAAAAAATCACTTCTGGACCCCCGGACCCCCTCTTTCTGCGTCATTTTTCAAGCCAGATCGATCTGTGAGGGCCCCAGGAAACGCCCGTGGCGAAACAAGCAACACTTCCCCCTCCCCCCGCAATTCAAAGTTGGCACGTGTACGCATCACTGGTCCGACACTCAAATTCGGGAGATCCGAGCCCAACATTGCATCCGGCGGGAGAGGGGGCGAGTTCACACCATGTGTCACGCGTGAGTGTTGCTTTATTGTTTCCGACACCTGTCGCAGCGCCAGGATCGCCAGGAGTCTCGAAGAGCCTCGAGGCTCTGGGCGCTGGCCGAAGTTTGTTCAAAGCGGTGCCGTGGCTGGCGCTACTTTCTCGGGGGAGCGTTAAGTCGGGCGTGTCCCCCTACACGAGGAATATTTAGAAATAGTCCAAAAATAGTCAGGGGACGATTTTTAGAGCATTTGTTTCGGCTATGTTTGAGCATTTGTTTAAGCATGTTTGATTCTTCGTCCAAGATCCGCCTGTAGGATGACATGCCCGACCTAAGGGGAGCGTTCGCCGCTCTGGGCCAGAGCTGGGGCCCCGGGGGGACCCCGGGTGCTCCCGCTCTCCGCCGTCGCGTCGTCGTCGTGGTCGTCGCCGCCGCCGTCGTCGCCGTCGTCGTCGTCCTCGTCGTCGTCGTCCTCGTCGTCGTCGCTTTTCTCGGGGGAGCGCTCGCCCCTCTGGGCCAGAGATCTGGGGCCCCGGAGAGGCGCCCCGAGCCCTCGCGCTCTCCGCCCTTGCCTACGGTGGAGACCCATGCCAGGAAGCACCTTGCTTGCCTCCGGGGTGCCCCGGGCTTCCTGGGCTTCGATGGTTCTGCCATGGAGAGCGTGACGTTCCCCCCCTGCCAGGAGTCCACAGACGTCCGGGGGCACTCCAGGGGTGACGGTGGGCTTCTCGTGGGAGGTCTCCGGTGGTCGAGCCTCTGCATGCTGCAGGCTGTGGGCCCCGGAGAGGCGTCCGCCCCTTGCCTGCAGGCTGCTGCGCGAGCCGTGCCCGGGTTGAGAAGCTACGCGGCAGGTTCGCGTCGTGTCGACCAGCGGCCAGTCCGCTGCGGGCGTTCAACGCTGAACGCCGCCGGCGACCCAGAATCGGTCGATGTTGAGCAATCGGACGTTTCGGAGACGGCCAGATCGTTCAGAGTTGAACGGCGTCAGAAACCAACGCCGAACTCGACACGACAAGAACCAGACGCACGGATGTCCTTAGGGTGCCCTTGCGTCTTTGCTTCTGCAGCCCGTCCTTCGCGGTTTTCATTGGCCAGCCCCTCAGGCTGTTGACAGCCCGCCACCCCAAAAATGCCGACTTCGGCGTCCAAGGCCCTTGCGTCCTTACCGCCCGTCCTTAATATAGATTTCGACCGTACGCCTCGGCGCCACCTCAACATGCTGATACTATGTGTGCGTCGGCCCCTAGGGGCGATGCGGGCACCGAGAAATCTTGTAGTATATGTGTCGTGGCGGGCGCTTTCTGGCCACACCGCTCGGGAGACGACATACTACAAGATGGGTATACTATATGTTCGGCTCGGACGCGCGTCTCCAAAAAGGACATACAGTATTAGTACGTCCCTGTCCGTCCCAAACGCCCCCTGGCATCGCTCGGACCTGTGCGTGTGTTTTTGTGCGAGGAGCATCGAGGAGCGTTTTTGTCACCACGAGCGTTTTCGCTCGTCTTCGGGCCCCGTGACCCTTATAGATTGATCGGGCTCGACCATGACGCCGAAAGAGGGGGTCCGGGGGTCCGATCCAGGTTTTTTTTTGTGCGATGTTGCAATTTTTTGTTCTACGTCGGAGCTCTGGGCTCGACCAGGGACCAGGGGGGAGGACCCAGAGATCCGAGGTCGTGATTTTTCCCGTGCGGGGCCCCTGGAAGTCTCGACCCCTTCCCCAGGACCGGCGCTTTTTTCCTGCATTGATTTTTGCCAACCCCGGAGCCCGGCGAGGGCCCCCAGAGCCCGAAAATTGCGAAACCCTTCCGTCTTGTTTTTTTTTCCAATGCCCTGAGATCCGACGCCTCAAAAAAACTGAGACGCCGTGAAAAATCTAGCCTGGAGCCCTATAGACCCTCTCTTTTTGCGTCGTTTTTTTCGAGCCCGACCGATCTGTGAGGGCCCCGGGGCCCGAAACCGTGCGAAGACGCCGGGCTCGAAAAAATTGAGTCGCCAGGATCTCAGGTCGGCAACTGCAAAGGGTGTGCTTATGCCGGGGAGTGGTTTGCGATCGGCGCCGTTGGGGCCTGGGTGGCGCGACGTTGTCCTCGTCGGGCCTCCTCGGGGCGCGGCGGAGAACTCCGTCGATGTCCCCGCCCGCCCCCCAGGGTGCCCCCCAGGGTGCCGGGTGCAAACCGCACCCTTTGCAAACCACACCCTTCGGAGTCGCCGATCAGGGCACGTTGGATCTCAGGGAGGCACGAAGCGCCGAAAGAGGCACGGGGGAGGGGACCTCCGAGCCGAGCGGCGGCCAGGCCCGCGGCGCGCCAGTGAGTTTCGACGCTATCTGCTCCGGGCCCCGTGCCGGAGGCGGGGCCTCCCGGGGCGAGAGAGGCCCTGGGCCGCCGTGCTGTGCGGCTGGACCTCTGCCCAAGTGTCGAGGCCCTGGGAGGAGGAGGGGGGAGGAGGAGGAGGAGGAGGAGGAGGAGGAGGAGGAGGAGGAGGAGGAGGAGGAGGAGGAGGAGGAGGAGGAGGAGGAGGAGGAGGAGGAGGAGGAGGAGGAGGAAGGGAGGAGGAGGAGGAGGAGAGAAGGAGGAGGAGGAGGAGGAGGAGGAGAAGGGAGGAGGAGGAAGAGGAGGAGGAGGAGGGAGAAGGGAGGAGGAGGAGGAGGAGGTCGATCCTCGCCCCCTCCCTCCCCCTCCCTCTGGAGAGAGGCGCACCCGGGGAGAGATCCAGCGGGCATGCGCCTCGAGGAAGGACAAACGCCTCAAACAATTGTTTTTGGCGCTCCGCGCGGATTTCTTGGATCCGCGCTCGGCCCCCTGGCGGCGCCTCTGGCGCCGCCCTGGCGCGCTCCGCGCGCCAGGGAGGGGTGTCCAGCGCGGATCTGAGAAATCCGCGCGGAGCGCCACAAGTTTATGTTTGTGGCGTTTTTTCTTCTTCTTCTTCTTCTTCTTCTTCTTCTGGAGACGTCTCGAGTCGAGGGCGACCTCTTGAACCCTGGTCTCGAGGTCGCCCTCGCCCTCGAGACCGAGGCTCAAGCGACGGGGGGGGCGCTGCATGAACGGGGGTCGGTCAGAGCGCCGGATCTTGCAGGACCCTGCAGAGCCGCTGAGCCAGGGGTGCATTGACTCGGGCTTGCATGCAGGATCCTGCAGGATCCTGCACAGCTCGGCTGACCCGGGTTTGGATGGACCCGGGTCAGTAGATCCCCGGACGTCTCGAGGTCGCTTTCGGCCTCGCGCTCCGCCTCCCCCCTCCTCGCTGTCGTCTCTCCCGCCTTCCCGACTCTCCGGTGCCAGCCCTTGGCGCCGCAGCTTCCCCTGGGAGGTCGAGCGCGTCGCCGACTTCCTCGCGCAGGGCGCCGCCGGGGAGGGAGGGTGTGGGACCTGCGGCCCGTCCGCCATCGCTAGCTCACCCGAGCTTTTTCCCTCCCTCATATCTGCTCTCCTCTGCCTCCCTCTTTCTTCCTCCCCCCATCCCTCCTCCCTCTTTCCTCCCTCCTCCTCCTCCTTCTCCTCCTCCTCCTCCTCCCTCCTCCTCCATCCTCCTCCATCCTCCTCCTCCTCCTCCTCCTCCTCCTCCTCCTCCTCCTCCTCCGCCGCCTCCTCCTCCTCCGCCTCCGCCTCCGCCTCCGCCTCCTCCTCCTCCTCCTCCTCCTCCTCCTCCTCCTCCTCCTCCTCCTCCTCATCATCATCATCATCATCCTCCTCCTCCTCTCTCCTCCTCCCTCGCCCCTCCTCCCTCCTCCCTCCTCTTTCCTCCCTCCTCCTCCAGCCGTTCTGGCTCTGGAGGTTTGGGGCCTTCGGAGCGTCTGCCGTCGCACTTCAGAGCGGCGCGTGAGCAGGAGCTAACAGCAACGGTTCTTCCACTGTCAGGCCTCCGCCCTCGGACAGGCCCCGCCGCGCGGGGGCAAAGGCCGAATCGGCGGAGGCAGTCATGTCGGAGGCGGCGGCGGCTTTGCGAGTGGCGGCGGCTCCGTCTGGGCTCGCGGGCCGCGCGGCGGCGCAGGCAGCGGCGTCGCCGAGGTGCTTCCGGGGCCGAAGTCCCCACAGTGGGGATGCAGCTGTGGGGAGGTTGGCAACTGGGCCTCTCGCCTGTCCCGCCACTGCGGGCGGGCGGCGCCCTCGGCGGTCCGCCAGCGCGCCTACGAGGCGGCCGCCGGGACCACGGGCCAGGCCAACGCAAGGAGGCAAAGGCTCAGGCTGAGGCCGGCAAGCCAGCGGCGGCGGCGCCGCCTGGGGCTGCAGCGGGGAAGCCGAGCGCCGAGGTGCCGCTGGCCACGGCGAAGCTGCTCGTGGACATGCATGTGCAGCAGTACGGCGCCGACCGGGAGGCTTGGCCCAAGAACTGCACTGAGCTCATGCGCTGCGTGGCGATCGTCGACAAGCAGGCGGATGATGATGAGGAGGAGGCCAAGGCTAAGGGCAAGCGGCAAGCGCGAGGGCGCTGGCCACCTTGGAATGCGCCACATGCGGCTCGATGAGAATCGGACCGAGATCGACAAGGCCAAGCGCAGGATCGAGGAGATCCAGGCTGAGGCCGCCGAGGTGCAGATGCGCCCGGACAAGGAGAACGCCATCCTGCAGGGACGCCAGGCTGAGCGGAAGGAGCTGGAGGCGGCCAAGGACGGGGCGCAGCTACAGGAGGAGCTCGCGAAGGTCCAACGCCCAGGGGCGGCAGGACAAGATCGCTGCCGCTGCCACGGGTGCCCAGGAGGCCGCGCCAGCTGCGGCAGCTGAGGATGCAGGGTGCGGCGGTGCGGGCGTTTTGGGCGCTGGTGGCACTGCCGGTGCTGCTATGGCTCGCGACGATGCCGAGATGGGCGATGCCGGCGCAGACGCACCTAATCTAGAAAATGACGGCGACTCACTGTGGGCAGCCGTGGGGCTGGCTGGAGGCGGGGCCGAAGGCGGTAACGCTGGCGACCGCCAAGCCCTGGTGTAGAAGAGGAAAGTCATGTGGGTGCAGCTCAGCACCACAAACGCTTTCAAGCGGCGCCAGGGGGGCCTTGACCCAGGGCCAAGAGCCCAGGGCATCTTAGCCCTCCCGAGGACCTTCTGTTGCTGACGTGCAGCACCAACTCGTGGGGTTCATGCCAGGAGCTCCCCGAATGGTGGGTCAAGGATGTGGGCGCGAGGATGTCTGACATCGTGTGCGTCCAAGAGCACCGCATCAAGCTCGAGACGAAGCGCGTGGCTGCCAGGCGCTGGGCCCGGGGGTCAAAGCGGTGCTGGGCCTGGCGGAGGCTACCGGCGAGAGGCCACCTGGAGTCGTCAGGGGGGCACATGGGGTCATGGCGTCAGCGGCGTGTGCGGCCCAAGCGCTGCCCACCCCGTTGTGCCCTGGCGGCCCGGTCCAGGCCGTCCGGGTGAACGTCGGACTGCAGTGGCTGATTATGGTGGTGTCTGTCTACCTCGTAGACAAGATCGGGATGACCGGGCAGAACCTGGACATCATGGAGGGCCTGCTCCGAGAGATCCTCGGCTGGCGGTGTCCCGGGGCAGCCATGGGCGACTGGAATGTCGACCCATGCTTCGTCCATCATTGGGCGAAGCGTGCAGGTGGCGCCCTGGCAGCCACTGCGAGGCCGACGTGGGGAGAGCGAGAATTCGACTTTGCGGCGGTCTCCTATGCCCTTGCGGAGCTCGTGGACGAGGTCCGCCTGGTGGAGGGCGCGCCGATGTCGCCCCACAGCCCGGTGGCGGTGCGACTGAAGGGCGTGCACAAAGGCGCGAGGATTCAGGTGGCGAAATTCCCCAAGCGGTTCCCGCTGGACCTTCCCCCTCCAGTGCGCCTGGCGCCGGACGAAAAGGAGGTGTGGGACATGGACGGCGGCGTGCAGCACACAGGAGAGCCAAGAGTGGTTCGCGGAGGCCGAGAAGTACTTGGAGTGCCTTGCACAGCATGGCGGAGGACTTCGAGGCCGGGAGGCTCAGCAGAGGAGGAGGGCTGCAGGTGCAGGAGGTCCCTCTGGAGACGCATTGGTCAAAACGGTACCGGGATAGGTCGAGCCTGGCGGCGCGTGAATGGCAACGGCGCGTGGGGGCGCTAGGCCGGATCAGCTCCCTCGTGGAGTCCGTCTGCAGGTTGGGCCGTGGTTGGGCGGAGCTGCGCAAGCAGCTAATCCAGGTGCAAGGATAGCCGCGACGCAGAGGCGCCGCCTGAGGAGTGGCCGGATGGGGACGCACTGCCTCCACTCAGGCTCGAAGATTTGGATGATATCATTCTAGACAGGTGCAAGGAAGGCGGTTTGTGGTTTGTGGTGGGATCGCCTCCATCCCAAGGCCTTGGGACACCTGCATGAGGCATAGATCGCCGCAGAGTTCTGGAGATCCTCAGTGCCTGGGAGGAGCGGCCATGCGACGTGAACCTGTGGGGCCTCATAACGGTCCTCCTGGCTAAGGAGGACGGCGGCAGGCGACCGATACACCTCAGCTGCATATGGATTCGGCTGTGGTCGAGACTGCGCCAGCCGCTGGTGAGGCGCTGGGAGGAGTCGCTGGACAACCCGGCGTTCTGGGGAGCCTCGGACAGGACGTGCGACGCTGCCGGCATGGTGTCCAACCCGTTAGCCAGCTTCGCGAGGCTGAAGCACATGGCTGCAGCAGCGGGCGTGTTGGACCTGGCCAAGTTCTACGAGCATGTGAGCCACGCGGAGTTAGCCAATGCGGCGGGCGAGACTGGCTTCCCGAGGAGGCTAGTCAAGCTTTCGTGCTTGCGTTGCCGCACTGCCAGGCGAGCCACCTGGGCGGGAGCCGTCTCGCGCGAGATCCGCGCGAACGGCACTCCGACAGCGGGCTGCTCCTGCGCGCGACCGGGGCAGCGGGCTTGGGCCACGTGCCTCACCCAGGACATCCTGGGAGGCGGGCCGCGGCCTCCTGGAGAAGGAGAGGCCCTGGGCCCACTGCAGGTGCCCGGCGGAGGCGAGTCGGCTAGGATTGAGCAGGCTGGGCATCGAGATGCTGAGCTTCGACGCGTGGGACCTTCCCAGGGGCGAGAGGCTGAGCTTGAGGCGGCTGTCCCCACAGGCCGTCAGGGAGGTGATCAGGAGGCCTGCGCAGCAGGCTTCCGACGTGTGCGCGCTCGGCCGCCTCCGAGGCGAATGCGCCTGGGCTGCTTCGCTGACTTGGACGCCGACGGCGGAGCTGCTGCCCCGGCGCGGCGGCGATGGGGATCGAGGAGTGGGGCGCTTCCCAGAAGCGGGCCCTCGGGGGCCTCATCGGCGGATCACATTGGGCGCAGGCCCAGCTGCGCGACGCGGGCACGGCGGAGAGGTCGACGCGTGCAAGCTGTGCCAGGCTGCGCGAGGGACCATGTGGCATCGCTACTTCGCGTGCGACTGCACGGCGGCGCGCCGAAGAGATCGATGCCCCCAGGATCTCTTAGAGGCAGCATCGGTTGCGCGGTCGCGCGGCGTGGCGGCGGGGGAGCTCTTCGCCAGATCCCTGCTGCCGAGCCCCGCGCAGTGCTTCCCCAGGGTGGAGGCCCCCGAGAGCACCCGCCTGGTGTTGCGCATCAGGCTGGCGGGAGGCTACTTCACAGGCGACGTCTTCGTCGACGGCAGCGCCTACGACGTCGAGGATGACGCGCTGTGTCTTGCAGGCTGGGCGATCGTAGCCATCAACGATGACAGGGAGGTCATAGGAGCAGTCTATGGATTGGCCCCCCTTGCCGAAGGGCCCCTTCAGGAAGCGCGGGACGGAGAGGGCTACGCCCTCAAGATACTCGCAGCGCTGGGCCAGGGCCCCTTGAGGGTGCACAGCGATTGCAAGGTTGCGGTCTGGTGCGCTCGGAACCGGGGCTTCGCCCTAAGTGACGCGAGCGTCCGCCGCCACCTATGGCGAGCCTGGTGGGCCGAAATGGGAGACCAGGACGTGGAGGTGATCAAGGCGAAGGCCCACGTGGCCGAGGAGACGGCCACGAGCCCGCTCGACAATTGGAGACGGGCGGGCAATGGCGTCGCCGACAGGACCAGGCATTCAGGCCTTCAGCCCAGGCCTTCGGCCTCCCTCCTCCCGGCATCCACAAGAAACTTCACGTTGCTGCAAGCCACAAGCTGTGGAATGACTGGAAGGAGATTTTTTTTGCACGCGCTGAACTTACTACGTGCCCATCAATTTCTGAGGGCTGCGGCCCATTCCGTCCATCCCCCTAGGGACGCGCTCCGGCGCGACGGTGGCGGTTCGTTCGTTCGTTTTGCCCCGGTTAACGTTGCAGAGGCCGCTCAAAGATGACGCGTCGTCGAAAGCCACTTGCTGTCGTCGTATTAATTGCGACCGCACTTGTACTGATGCGGGCGATGTGGGCCCCCGTCACCGGGCGGGGCTAGGACACGGGCAAATCCGTTCCAGCGCATTCCGGAACGTTCTCAGAGCGTTCCAGAACGCTTTGAAAAGGCCGCGGCGCCCGATACATTCTCCAGAGCCGCCAGATCTCAGAGATGGTCGACTTATCCTTGTCTGATTTTATCCTCGCCCTGGCGTCGTCTTAGATGGGGGCCCCAAATCTACCGATACCGCCACTCCCCGGACCTCTTTTGGGGTGCGTTCTGACCAGAAGTTTGAGGCGAATCCAGCGGTGCCGACGAGGGCCTCCCAGGAGGCCCAACGGGGAGGAAGCGAGGGAGGGGCAGCGAGGTCGGTACCTTCTCCTCCTCGGAGCGGCAGCGGCCAGGGCGCGCAGCGAGGGGGCGCAGCGGCCCTGCTGTCCGAGGCGCGGCGCTCGCCCGCAGCCTCACCGCCTGGGGGATCGACCTTCGGGGACGTCGGCCGGCGATGGGCGTGGGTGTATGCAGCTAAGACGCTGCAGTAAGAGTTGAACAGTGGCGAAGCGGTTTGGCTTGCCTACAAGCCCACCGGAGAATGTTACAAGAACCTTTTGTGGTCTGCGCGACATGTGATTAGAACATGTTAGGTTCAGACCGTCTTGTTTCAACCCATCGGGTTGTGTTCTAAGAACATGGATTTTGTTATCGGAGCGTTTTCGGGTTCTCAGAACATGTCATGGTAGGCCTACAGGATGCTGGGACGGTCGGTCCTGGCTCAAAAGGACCGCTTTGGGTTCGGAAGGGGCTCGTTGCTCCTCAGGTCATGCCGTTGTTCCTCTAGCCCTCCTCGTGCGCCCAGTCACTGCTGGCGCCAAGAAAGGGCTTCGTTTCTGATGTAGAACTCCTTCTTTCAGGAGCCCTCTGTATTCGGGCCCTCTGGAGTCAAAAGAGATCGAAGAAGAGCAAACTTGCATAAACATAAGCTTTCGGGGCTCCGCGCGGATTTCTTGGATCGGCGCTCGGCTCGCTTTGGCGGCGCCTCTGGCGCCGCCCCTGGCGCGCTCCGCGCGCCAGGGAGGGGGGTCCAGCGCCGATCCAAGGAATCCGCCCAGAGCTCCGAAAGTTTATGTTTATGCTATGTGTTGTTCCCCCATGATGAGCGTTCCAAGAAGGGCCTTGCCTTCGAGGATCGAAGGAGTTGCCTTCGAGGATCGAGGGCCGCGGAAGGGCGGCTGAAGGCGGCGGAAGTAAGACTAGGCCGCCTCCGCCGACGGAAGCCGATGGAAGGCCGGCGGAAGCCAGTGGAAGCAAAAGTCGGCTTGCTCAGAGATGACAACTTTGCTGGGTTGTGATCGTTCTTTTAACCCCCGGGTGTAACGCGTGTTGCCCCCTGCCTCCCACGTAATGGTAACGCTTGCAGAATGGGTGCAAGCTTGAATCCGTGCAGCTTCCAAAGGACACTGTAAGGAGTACACAGGCTCTCTTCAAGCAGTGGCGAAGCGTCCTGGCTCGCCTATAGGCCCACCAAAGAATGTTCTAATAACCTTTTGTGGTCTGGACGAAGTGTTCTTAGAACAGTTCTGGCTGCGACTGTCTTGTTTTAACACATCGGATTGGCGTTCTAATAACATCGCTTCTGATCTTAGAACATTTTTGGGCTCTAAAAACATGTCGTGGTAGGCCTCTAGAAATGCCGGGACGGTCGGTCCCTGCTCAAGTTCTGGCGCACGCAGGCATCGACGTGCACGCTGGGCCAGTGCACTGCGGTGTGCATGGGCGCTGTGGTGCACGCAGACACTGTGGCCTACGCGTACGCTGCGGTGCACATGGCTACCCTAGTGTGCACACGCGTCGCGGTGTTCACCGGCGTTGCCATGCACAGAAGCACTGGTGTACACAGGTTTTGTGGTGCACGCGGCTGCTGTGGTGTACACGGGCGTTGTGGTGTACGCAAGCGTTGCGGTGCAGCAGAATGATATCAGAGGTGGAGGGGCATGACGATGAGGAGGAGGCGGAGGGGGAGTAGGAGTTGGGAAGGGGGAGGGAGCCAGATAACAGCATATTCACAGCTTGGTGGCCCCACTGTGGGGGGGGGGCCTGCAGGCTCTCGTTGTCGTCCGTTCTTGCCTCTGGCCGCAGACAGTTCGCTGGCGCAGATAATGTGCAGCGGCGACCCCAGCGCGGGCGTTCAAGGTTGCGTTCTTCACGGGCTTTCATCGCGCCCTTGGTTCGTAGCAGGCCTCTGACGCAATGTGGTGCTCACGAGCACAGCGACGGCTTCGCAAGCTACTAATGTGCCCGCTGGCATTTTTGGCGTCGCGGTGTACACACAGGCGTTGTGGTGCACGGAGGCTTTGTGGCGTACACAGGCGATGTGGTACACATGTGGTGTGCGCAGGCGCTGTGGTGTACACAAGCAGTCTGGTGCACGCAAGCATCGTGATGTACACAAGCGCTGTTGCGCACGCGGCATCACGCGGCTGCCGCAGAGTACACAGGCATTGTGGTGTAGACAGGCGACGTGGTGTTGTGGTGCGCGCGGCCGCTGTGGTGTACGGAGGCATTGTGGTGTACGCAGGCGGCGCTGTGTTGCACGCAGGCATTGGGCATTGTCGTGTACTGTACAAAGGGACTGGCACGCAGTCATTGGGCATTGCCGTGTACACAGGGACTGTGGTGCACACGGGCGATTGATGTGCCGATGGCTTGGGCTCACTCACCCTGGCGGGTGCACGCTGCGGCCGCCGTTGCCATTACCCCCCCGCCCGGGCCCACCACCCCCCGGGGTAACCCGCGCTACCCCCAATGAATAAGCGAAAGATGTCGTTCAGGGTTGCATGGATCCGCCATGTATATGTCGGGGCTCCCTGGGGCCCACACTACATACCCTACCGCCCGTCGGCCCCCCCAGGCGGTGGATATGGATGCCTCCCCGTCGGGCGTCGATGGATCGCGTTGCAGCCCTTCGTCGTCGGGCGTCTGTGGTGCCGTTCACGGTCCTCGGGAACCTGCTGAATATCCGCGCTGCATCGTCGAGGCTGGTCGCCCGCGTGGCGCAGCTGTTCGAGGCGGGGCACGCCGCCGCCATCCGCGCGGCGGAGGGCCTTCCGCGATGCGCCGTGCGTGGCGGGGCCTCGTTGCCCCGCGGTGTTGGCCAGCAGTGCGCTTGTTGGGAGACTCCAGAGAATGCCGATACTGATCCTGGCGGTAACACGCTGACCCCGGCGGTGGCACTGGCCATGTCAACGCTGACCCACAGTAAGGTTGAGCTCCACGGTAAGGTCGAGCTCCATCCATAGTTTGATGTAGAAAGAGCTCGAGTATAGGGACACTCGTCCGACACTGGCCCTTCTCCTCGTTTCCCCGTTTCTCCTCCGTCCCAAGTCTCTCCCCCCCATTCCCTCCTCCCCCCACGTTCCACCTCTCCCTCCTCTCTCCTTTCCTTCCCGCCCTCCCTCCCTCCCCCCCTTTCCCCCCCCCCCTCTCCCTCCCCGCAGCCCTGATTTATCTCTCTCCCTCTAACTCTGCTTTCTGCATGGATGGCCTCTCAGGGGCAGGCTCGAAACAATCAATCGGCGCAGGATGGCCCAGCTTGGCCATTTTCGTCTGGGGCGCCGCAGATCCGGGGATGTCACTGGCGCACCGCCCGAGTGATCGACTTCATAGTCCTCGGCATCCTACGCGGCATCGAGGGTGGAGGTGGGGGCTGTGGAGGTGTGGGCGGATGAGGAGGAGGAGGAGGAGGAGGAGGAGGAGGAGGAGGAGGAGGAGGAGGGGGAAGTGGAGGAGGAGGAGGAGGAGGGAGGCGGAGGAGGAGGATGGCCATGAGTGAGAGGAGGAGGAGGAGGAGGAGGAGGAGGAGGAGGAGGAGGAGGAGCATGATCCTCACACACCTGGTATTCTGCAGGTGGCCGGTCTGTCCGACTGTCCGTTGGCTTGGTCTGGATAGTCGTCCGCGGTGTGCCGCCTGTCTTCCGCCAGCTATGTCTGCCACGTCGTCCATTCGCCGGTGGTGTTGGCGGCCGTTCGCAGCAGGAGGGCTCAGTGAATGAGGTCAGAAGTCAGAAGAGGGTTGGTGGCCAGCATGCTTACACGAACTGGCCAGGAGACATGGTGGTCCGCCTGGACGTGCGAACTGCAGCGGAGCGCGGGGAAGGGGCAACGCTGCAGATTGCATGGGGGCGCCAAGGACACCAGACAAGCAAATACACGTAGGCAGGCACAGTCACAGTGGACGGTAATGAGCTCCGCGGGGTGAGAGAGCGAGAGAGAGAGAGAGCGAGAGAGACGGAAAGAGATAGAGAGAGAGAGACAACACAACAACACGACACATATCATCAGACATACATGTTCGTCTTGAAGGAGGCGCGCGTATCCAGCCCGCACGCTGCGGGCAACATCTCCACCACATTATGTTTTGTATATACGTGTCAAGCAGACAGACAGACAGGCAGGCAGGATGACAGACAGACAGACAGGCAGGTGGACAGACAGATAAACATCGGGTATAGCCAGGACCCCAGGGAAGGGGACCCGGTTAGTGGTAGGGCCCTGGGGCCCCTGAATTGGCCAGAAGCACTAAACCAGGTCTGCCGTAGCTGGTGTTTTTACGGGTGACGGCAGTTCCGGTTAGTGGAACGGGGCCTGGGGGGCGCCCCCCAGTGCACATCACTAAACCAGGTCCCACTAAACCCAGTGCTGCCAACGCCCGAAAACAGAGGAAGTGCCAAGTGCTCATGCCGTGTTTTTGATTGATTGTCTCGGGTGACACTTTGTCGATGACTTCGCCCAAACGCGAGACTCTGAAACGGTGGCGCTGGCGCGCGAGGCGGGGCAGTTTGGGGTCGAGGGATCGGCTCTCCAAACGGATGCTGGAGACTGTCTTGCCGCCGTTTGGGACCGCCAGTGGAGCTCCTGGCGGAGGGGACACGTTATACGTGGCACACCAACCCGACCATTTGGGCTGTCGAGGATCCACTGGCCGTAAAGAGTTTCGCGCTGGCTCGAACGCATGCGCTGTCAGAGCTAGGACTGCGAATCTCGCTGCTCGTGGCATGGCCTGCAATTGCACTGAGGCGTATGTGGCGCGGGCTGCGCTGGCCATGGCCCCCCTGGTACTTCTAAGATGCTGTAGATCATTTCCCAGCTGCCTGCGGCAAGTCCGCCACCGTGCGTGGTGACCTTTCGATCACCGCCCAGAAGGCCGTCAGATGTGACACTGTCGTCTCGAAATCTTCAGGAGCTCTCATGCGGCTTATGTGGGCCGTCGTGAGGCTGTCTTGGACACTTGTGGGACAGTCTCACGGGTCCCATGTGCCTTCTCGGGCCGTCTTGGGGTTCCGTGGACTTTCTTTGGATTGCGAAGGCCTGACGGCCGGTGCCGCCGACCCTGTTCGCAATGCGCAGCAAGAGGCACGGGCTGTGGGATGGTTTGGGGGAACGGGGAGAAGGACGAGAAGGTGGGGGAGGGAGGTGTCGTATCTGACCCGGGACTTCCCCGGGACTCCCCCGGGACCCCCCCCCGGGACCTCCTCTCCCCCCCCCGTCGGGGAAGGGAAAGGGAAGGGGCTTCCCTTCGACTCAATGACGACGTTGCTCAAGGTCGGTACGGGGGGGGGGCGTCGTATCTGACTCGGGGGGGGGTCGCTACCCCCCCCGCTACCCCCCCCCCCTCCCGGCGGGGGAGGAATGAAAGGGAAGGGGCTTCCCTTCGACTCAATTACGAGGTTGCTCAAGGTCGGCTTGGCTGGAGCCCAGGGGAAGAGGAGTCCCAGGGGGGGGCGTCGTATCTGACCCGGGGGGGGGGTCGCTACCCCCCCCCCCCTCCCGGCGGGGGAGGGATCAAAGGGAAGGGGCTTCCCTTCGACTCAATTACGAGGTTGCTCAAGGTCGGCTTGGCTGGAGCCCAGGGTCGTATCTGACCCGGGGGGGGGTCGCTACCCCCCCCCCCCTCCCGGCGGGGGAGGGATCAAAGGGAAGGGGCTTCCCTTCGACTCAATTACGAGGTTGCTCAAGGTCGGCTTGGCTGGAGCCCAGGGGAAGAGGAGTCCCAGGGGGGGGCGTCGTATCTGACCCGGGGGGGGGGTCGCTACCCCCCCCCCCCTCCCGGCGGGGGAGGGATGAAAGGGAAGGGGCTTCCCTTCGACTCAATTACGAGGTTGCTCAAGGTCGGCTTGGCTGGAGCCCAGGGGAAGAGGAGTCCCAGGGGGGGGCGTCGTATCTGACCCGGGGGGGGGTCGCTACCCCCCCCCCTCCCGGCGGGGGAGGGATCAAAGGGAAGGGGCTTCCCTTCGACTCAATTACGAGGTTGCTCAAGGTCGGCTTGGCTGGAGCCCAGGGGAAGAGGTCTCCCAGGGAAAGGGAAGGACAGAGACGACGAGTACAAAGAATGACGGAGATGACGGCTCGAACGGAAAAGCCCCTCACACACGCCGACAGGGTCGGCGGATTTCTTGGGGCCGTCGTGGGGCCATTTGGGGGGCCCCCTTTGGCCGTCCAAGGGCCCTCTCAGGCCGTCTTGGATCCCTTCGGATGTCTTCTTGGGCCAGCTTGGAACCCTCTTGGGGGGCTTTTGCAGACCGAGTGGACCGATTTTCGACCGAAGAGCGTGGACAGCGAAAGATACTGAAACACATGAGGGACCAACTGTGCTTGGCCTCCCGAGGGCCTCCTGGAGAGTGTCTTGGAAGTGTGTTGGTGCCTATTGGAGGCCTCGTGGGGTCTACAGTGGGGGCGCGCATCAAGACATTGGCTGTTTTTCGTCAGGGTACCCTGTGTTTCTTCGCTCCGCGCGCTGTGCGGTGGCTTCCCGTGGCCGCTGAAGGAGCTGCTGCGTTCAGGGTGCTCTGGATTCCCCCCGCTTGCATCTCGCGACTGCGGGCTTCAGGGCTGCGCTTCTTGCGAGGGTTTCTCTTGCGGCCGCGCCCGCAACTTGGCCTTCTCCTTCCCCCCCCTCCTCCTCCTCCTCCTTCTCCTCCTCCTTCTCCGCCTCCCCCTCCTCCTCCGCCTCCTCCTCCTCCTCCTCCTCCTCCTCCTCCTCCTCCTCCTCTGGGTGCCTCTTGAGGCAGTGCTGGGCCATGCGCTGCGGCCTCGACGCGGGGCCTTCTGTGGCTCGGGAGCGCGTTCGGGAGAGGCGCCGGGGCCGCCCAGGAGAAGCACTCTTGGGAGGAGGTGCGGCGCCTGCAGAACTGCCCTGGGAGGAGGAGGAGGAGGAGGAGGAGGAGGAGGAGGAGGAGGAGGAGGAGGAGGAGGAGGGGGAGGTGGAGAAGCGAGGAGGAAGAGGAAGAGGAGGAGGAGGAGGAGGAGGAGGATGAAGGAGCGAGGGGGGAGTGGAGAAGCAGAGGAGAAGAGGAAGCAGGAGGAGGAGGAGGAGGAGGAGGAGGAGGGAGGGGGAGTGGAGTAAGGAGGAGGGGGAGCGGGAGATAGCAGGAGCAAGAGGAGGAGGAGGAGGAGGAGGAGGAGGAGGAGGAGGAGGAGAGGAGAGAAGGAGGAGGGGGAGGTGGGAAGCAGGGAGAAGAGGAGGAGGAGGAGGAGGAGGAGGAGGGGAGGAGGAGGAGGAGGAGGAGAAGGAGGAGGAGGTGGAGGAGGGGGAGGAAGGAGGAGGAGGGGAGGAGGAGGAGGAGGAGGAGGAGGAGGAGGAGGAGGAGGAGGCGGAGGAGCATGAGGAGGAGAGGAGGAGGAGAGGAGGAGGGAAGAGGGAGGAGGAGGAGGAGGCGGAGGAGGAGGAGGAGGAGGAGGAGGAGGAGGAGGAGGAGGAGCAGATGAGGAGGAGGATCAGGCGGAGGAGGAGGAGGAGCGGAGAGGTGCAGGAAGCAGGGGAGAGGAGGAGGAAGAATCGGAGGAGGATGAGGAGGTGGAGAAACTGAAGGAGGAGGAGGGGGAGCGGGAGGAGGGAGGAGGGAAGAGGAGTAATAGGTGGATGAACAGGAGGAGGAGAAGGAGGAGGAGGAGGAGGAGCAGGAGGAGGAGGAGAAATGGGGACACCGAGAAGAAGCAGGAGGAGGAGGAGGAGGAGAAGCGACGACGACGACGACGACGACGACGTTGACGACGTTGACGACGTTGAATCTCCCTCCTCGTTCTCCTTTGAAGATCTACAGGATTCCTACCCGACAGCAGCGGGCACCCCACCATGCCTCGACGTGCCAGGGGGCACGTTGATGCGGATCCGGCAATTCCGGAGCGACGGGCGGGTGACTGCGAGGTACGTGCGGTCGGGCCGAGGTATATGATCGAGGTCGGCTCGGGAAGGGTACTCTAATGCTCTTCGTGTTTGTTGCATGTTCTTGTGCATCCTGGGGAGGGTTGCCTTGAACTTTCTGTGTGCTTTGGCCAGCGGAGGGTCTCGTGTTCTTGATGGATGTTATTCTGGCCTAGGTCCGACTGTGCAGAGGCTGTGCCAGGCAGCAGCGGGCATCCCACCACGCCTCAAGGTGCCATGGGGCACGGTTGCGGATCTGACGTTTCTGGGGTGACCGACAGTGCCATTCGGACAGTAATGAGCGCAAGGCGACTGCGAGGTACGGTCGGACCGAGGTATAAGATCGAGGTCGGCTCGGTGAGGGTATCCTAATGTTATTCGTGTTTGTTGGATGCTCTTGTGCATCCTGGGGGAGGGCACTCTCGAAGGGTCTTAAGTTTGGACCGGCGAAGGGTCTCACGTTCTTGAAGGATTTCCTTCTGTCCTAGGTCTAGCTGTACGATCAGTGACTGCACGCTTACTTCACCGAGTTGCGCCGTGGTGTGGTCTCTCGTCTGCTTCCTTTCCCCCTCCTCCGAGGCCGCGCAGCGAAAGAAGCTGCGGCGGCTCATCGAGGCCTCGAGAACAAGTCTTTAGCCACTCGGTCAAGTGCTGGTCGCCCCCAGACAAGCCGTACACCCTTGCACTGGAGTGAGATCGTCGATGCCCCTCAAGTGTGTCTTCTTTCTCCTCCGCACGCGGGCAGGAGAACAGTGCCGATAAGTGATCTGCTTGGGTCTCAGAAGGTCAGGATTCTCTGCAGGCCGGCAGGCGCGGCCTGCAGCGACGTCGACGTCGTGAAAACTCTCACGATCTCGACTCTTGCCGCGGCTCTCGGCTCTCCAGCACCAGCTTCCATCTGCGCACACCTGATGTGAGACCACGGACTGCCTCGCACGCCGTGCCCAAGAGAGCGAGGGCACCATTCGCCTGTTCCCGCTCCGACACCAGTCTGCACTGGCCTCCTCCCCCCCCCTTCCCGCCCCCCTTCATGGAGACCTCGCGCGCGCCCGAGGAGTTTGCTGGCGGCTCGGTGCCCAGCGCCGTAAACATTCCGGTGGACGAGCTCCCCAGGAGGCTGCGACAAGGGCGGCTGAACGGACGGGGAGATGAGGGGAGTGAGGGTCGGCAGGGAGCAGGGAGGGGAGACAGGGGGGTGATGAGGGAAAGAAGGAGAAAGAAGAGGGGGGGAGTGGGGAGCAAGGGAGGAGGAGGAGGAGGAGGAGGAGGAGGAGGAGGAGGAGGAGGAGGAGGAGGAGGAGGAGAAGGAGGAGGAGGAGGAGGAGGAGAGGACGAGAAGGAGGAGGAGGACGACGACGACGAGGACAAGGAGGAGGACAAGGACAAGGATCTCAGCGCCACGGATCAACCTCACTGCTGCGTCTTGACGATCTGGAATCGTGCCAGAACGCCGTTTTTGCCGTTTTTGGGTTTGAACACCGCGAATCAACATAACTGTTGCATCCGCATAATCCTGAATCCGTCGAAAAACATGTGTGGTATGTTGACCAGGGAAATCCGCCAAATTCTGCAACATGTTTAAAGCGAATGTGCGCGGCGCTAAGGCGAGAGCCACATTTTGAACAGGAACCGCCCTTAATCCACGAAGCGCTTTTTATTTTTTAACGAATGTGCGTGCCGCTAAGGAGAGAGCCACATTTTGAAAACCACCCGTCTTCAATCCGTGAAACTCTAGCATTTTTTTAAACGATTGTGCGCGCCGCTAAAGCGAGAGCCACATTTTGAAGACCACCCGCCCTCAATCCGTGAAGCTCTTAATTCTTTTACAGTGAATGCGCGCGGAACTAAGGCGAGAGCCACATTTTGAGAACCACCCGCCCTCAATCCGTGAAGCTCTTGCAAAAGTGTAAAACGAATGCGCGCGGCGCACAGGCGACAGCCACATTTTGAAAGCCACTCGCCCTCAATCCGTAAAGCTCTGGTAAATTCTTAAACGAATGCGCGCGACGCAAAGGCGAGAGCCACATGTTGAACATCACCCACCCTCCATCTGTGAAGCTGTTGCCACTTTTCAAGCTTCAGCGTCATAAGTGGTGAGGAAGTCTCATGCGAAACGCCGGGCCCGCCTTAAAAACAAGTTAGTCATAAGAAAAAGGAATGGAGGAGAAGGAGGAGGAGGCGGAGGAGGAGGAGGAGGAGGAGGAGGAGGAGGAGCCGCCGCCCGGCCAGGGTGCGCCTCCTGTCCTCGGGGGTGGAGCAGGGCCCCCGCCTTCACCTCGGCCTGCTCGGCCTTATCCGCGCCGCGCATGGGGCCTGCTGGCCCTGGATCGCCAGTGGCCACCACCCCCAAGGCACCCTCGAAGAAGGATGCCATGGAGGGGCTGGAGGAGTCCCCTCTGCCAGTCGCATCTTTTCCGACGGCCACCTGCAGCTCCCTGCTCCCTCCGCCTCCGCCTCCGCCTCCCCCCTCCTCCTGCGCCGGTCCGCAGCCTTTTTTGGCTCAGGCCTCGGAGCTCGGGTGGGGGGGGGGGGGGGGGGCGCTGCCTCGCCGGGCGTCGCCCCTGGCCTGGGCGCCCGCGGGCAGATGGCGCACCCGACCCCCATCTTCGAGCGGGAGCGCTGGCGGAGTCTGGACGGCAGGTGATCTGGGCCTCCCAAGTGAGCGACGCAAGAAAACGGGGTCGTCTTCGCCAGCGTTGGCGCGCAAGCTGCCCGCGTAAGGTCGCGCGCGAGCGCCCTCGCTTCCAGTGTAGCGTGCCGCGCTGGCGGCCTGCGTAAGCCACCGCGTGAGGTCGCTGTGCCATCTCGCGTAAGACCCCTCTCTTTCCGTCGCTCAAATGGGGTCGAAGCAGCTGGGGTCGGAAGATCGCGCCGCATCGCCGATGCGTCGGCGATGCGGCTCGATGTGCAGCCCGACCTTTCCGACGCCAACGTCGCCGATGCATCGCCGATGCATCGTGATCGAAGGAGAGGAGAAAGACGGCATAAACATAAACTTTCCCGCGCCACCCCTGGCGCGCTCCGCGCGCCAGGGAGGGGAGCCCAGCTCCGATCCAGGAACTCCGCGCGGACCTCCAAAACGGAATGCTTATGCCATGTGTTGTTCCTCTCGGTGAGCGGCGCAGGACACCGGGGTCGCGGGCAAGCTGCCCGCGTAAGGCCGTGCGTGAGCGCCCTCGTTTCCGATGTGCTGTGCCGCGCTGGCGACCCGCGTGAGGTCCCATGCGCCATCGTGCATCGGACCCCCTTGCTCTTCGTTTCCCAGGTGGCGCTTCTGCGTGCGAGGCGCCGACACCCTGGAGCTGCCGGACAGCTGGGAGGGCGACATCCGCGTCCCCTTCTGCCTCCAGGTTCGGGGGCGGCTAAGGGCGGGGGGGGGGAGGGGCACGACTCGGGCTAGGGTCGGCCACGCGCAGAGGGGGGTCGGGAAAGGGGGGAAGGCTTCTTAGAAGCACCTCTGCTTCTTAGAAGGCGCGGGCCTAGCCTACAGATGTAAGGCCGGCGCCTCCTAAGAAGTTCCCTTCCCCCTAAACCCCCCTTGGCGCGCTGCCAAGGCTCAGGGCGGGGCGGGGGATGACTCGGGCTACTGGGGGGGGGTCATGGCCAGGGCCAGGGAGTACTTCCCCAGACCTCGTGTGCTTCGTGGCTCCCTCCTCTTCTTTCAAATGCGTCCTCGTCCTTTTGGCCCCCCTCCCCCTGGACCGCGCACGTGGCCTCGGGCCATGGATTTTTCGACCCCCCTCTTCTTGGACCCCCGACACGTGACGTGTTGATGTCTGCTGTGCGGTCCCCAGCAGTCCCGGCCCTTTCCCCAGGGCTGGCATTTCATCCCGAGTCGTTCTATGACGGTCGGGGGGGCCTGGCCAAAGCCCCCCCGACCGTCAAAAAACTACTTTTCTTTTTCTTGCTCCTCCTCCTATCCATTTCCATCTCATTCACTTACTCGTTTTCAGATCACTCGCATCCATCATCATCACGCAGACTCAGCTAATTACATCACACTGAAGGAATTAGCTCCAGACGCATTCTCATTTATGCACATTGAAACTCTATCACTTCGACACGCTCTTCCGCACTCAGACTCACTCAGACTTTTCTGTTGGCCCGCTGCTCACCGCGACAGCAGGCGTGGCACTGCGGCACCACAAGGGTGAGCCGCCAGGGGTGAACACACTCTATGGTTCGCGCCCAGATTGTGGGGATGTCTCAGGCCGTTTGCTTCTTTCTGCCCCCCCAGACTGTTCTCTTTTGGTGGTCCAATGCTCCCCGCGATATAGCAGGCGTGGCACTGCGGCACCCCAAGGGGGAGCTGCCAGAGGTGAACACATTCTAGGATTCACGTCCATATTGCGGGGATGTCTCATGCAGTTTGCTTGTTCCCACCCCCCTGACTTTTTCGTTGGTGGTCCACTGCTCACCGCGATGTAGCAGGCGTGGCACTGCGGCACACCAAGGGGGAGCCGCCAGGGGTGAACACACTCCAGGATTCGCGCCCAGGCTGCGGGGATGCCTCAGGCGGTTTGCTTGATTCTGCCCTCCAGGCTTTTCTTTCATTGTGGTCCAATGTTCACCGCAATCTAGCAGGCGTGGCACTTGGGCACTCGAAGGGGGAGCCGCCAGGGGTGAACACACTCCAAGATTCGCGCCCGGGTTGCGAGCATTTGGGCACCCCATGAGGGAGCCGCCTGGGGTGAACACATTCCAGGATTCGCGCCCAGGCTGCGGGGATGTCTCAAGCGGTTTGCCTGCTTCTGCCCCCCAAAAGCGTTTTTTTCGTTGTGGTCTCAGGCTCACCGCTGTATAGCAGGCGGTGGACTTGGGCACCCCAATGGGCAGCCGCCGGGAGTGAGCACACTCCAGGATTCGCGCCCGGTCCAGGTTGTCGGGATTTCTCAGGCCGTTTGCTTCTTTCTGCCCCCCAGATTTTCCTATCTGTGGTCCAATGTTCACTGCGATACAGCAGGCGTGGCACTTGGGCACCCCAAGGGGGAGCTGCCAGAGGTGAACACAGTCCAGGATTCGCGCTCAGGTTGCGAGGATGTCTCAAGCGGTTTGCCTGCTTCTGCCACCCAAAACGTTTCTTCCTTTGTGATCCAATGCTCACCGCGATATAGCAGGCGGTGGACTTGGGCACCCCAAGGGGGTGCTGCCAGATGTGAACACAGTCCAGGATTCTTGTCCATACAGGCCTCGGAAAAAATAGCGAGCACTCATGCCACATTCATCTGTCAACGCCTCCCCCTCCCCCCAATGTTCAAAGTTGGCTGTGGGTCTGATGAGTTGCACCTCGACCGCAGTCTCCCCCGCGCGTGCCAACTTGGAGTTTGAGGGGCAGGGGGGGTGTTCACTAATTGTTTCCCTCCACCGTATTGCGAGGTTGTCTCAGGCGGTTTGTTTTTTCTGCCCCCTTGTTTTTGTGGTTCAGTGTTGACCGTGGTACAGTAGCCTTTTCACTTGGGCATCCCAATGTGGAGTCGCCAGGGGTGAACACACTCCAGGATTCGCGCCCGGGTTGCGACATAGCAGGCGTGGCACTTGGGCACCCCAAGGGGGAGCCGCCAGGGGTGAACGCACTCCAGGATTCGCGCCCAGGTCGCGGAGATGCCTCAAGCGTTTTGCCTGCTTCTGCCCCCCCAAAACGGCGTGGGACTTGGGCACCCCAAGGGGGAGCCGCCAGGGGTGAGCACACTCCAGGATTCGCTCCCAGTCCAGACTGTGGGGATGTCTCAGGCCGTTTGCTTTTTTCTGCCCCCCAGACTTTTTTTTTATGGTTCAATGTTCACCGCGATGTAGCAGGCGTGGCACTGCGGCACCCCAAGGGGGAGCTGCCAGAGGTGAACACAGTCTAGGATTCGCGCCCAGATTGTGGGGACGTCTCAGGAGGTTTGCTTGTTTCTGCCTGCTCCTGACTTTTCTCTTCTGGTGGTTCAATGTTCACCGCGATCTAGCAGGCGTGGCACTTGGGCACCCCAAGGGGGAGCTGCCAGAGGTGAACACAGTCCAGGAATTGCGCCCACGTTGTGGGATTGTCTCGAGTGGTTTGCCAGGTTTGTCTAGCAGATTTTTGTGCTCCCCACGTACTCACTCACTCACTCACTGACTCACCTTCTTCCCCTTTCCCCCATACCGACGAATTCATTCGCACTCGGACTTGTTCATCAGCACCTTTTCCTTGCTCAGACTCGCTCATCACATCCAAGCCCACTCGTATTCATATAAAATCATATTCAGACGCATGCATACATATTCGCTCATACTCAGACTCATTCAAGCTCAGAGTCACTCACGCCCAGAACAAGTCACACTCAGACTCACTCAGACTCAGATTCACTCACCCTCATCATCATTCGTACTCAGACAAATTCACACCCAGGTGCACTCATAGTCAGATCTGTATTCGTCAGATTCAAGTTCAGATTCGCCCACACTCAGACTCAGTCGCACACAGACCAGCTCGCACTAGACTCGCCCGCGCTCAGGCTTATTCATACTCAGACCCACTCGTACTCAGACTGATTAGATGTAGTCTCTCTCGCATTCATGCTCAATCATACCTGGATCCACTCACACTCCGACTCGCTCACTCTAAGATCACCCAGCGCTCAGATTCACCCGCACTCAAGCTCGCACACACACACACACACACACACGCACACGCACACGCACACACACACACATACACGTGTGGCTAGCGCGATATAGCCAGCCGGCGTGGTACTTGGCCACCCCACATGCCAGCAGGCGCTGCGAGCAGCACGCCAGAGAGCGGGCATAGCAACGCCATGCGCGCTTGCCTGAGTTGCCATTGGGAGAACGACAAGAGGAAGTCCCCCTCGCTCTTCCGCTTGTGTTTCCCTCGTCTCTCCTCAAAGATTTCCAGAGGAGGAGGAGGAGGAGGAGGAGGAGGAGGACGCCACTGAAGTCATCGCTGTCGTCGTCGTCGTTGCCGCGCCTGTCGTCTACGCGGAGTCGCTCTCACACCCAGACACTCAGTGGACAGAGTTCCTCGCCGAGACGCACGTATGGGGGTCTTCGCACGTGTGGGGGTCTCCGCACCGAGTCATTTCTGCCAGTGCCTTGGAGGCCCTGGTTTGACGCCCCCCTCTTGGACGCCCCAGACAGGCCCCGCTCTCCGGCGCGCTGGACTCGCTGCCCGCGGCGCGCCTGCGGGAGCTGGGCCTCAGCCGGCCCCCGCTGGCTGCCCCGCTGCGGCGGGGCCTGTTCCTGTGGTACCACCGGCGGCTGCCCAGGCTGCCCGCGGAGTGGTACGGCGAGGACACCGGCGCGATCGAAGTGGGCACGGGAAGAACGGGCGCGAAGAGTGGCAGCAGTTTTTGTTTATTGTCAACGGGGCTCGCTGTCGGTGTCGCCGCGGAGGTTGTCCATGAGAGACAGTGAGCCGCCAGCTCAGTAGCGGCCGCCGTCGGTTTCGGACGACATCTGCTGTTTGGCATCGTACCCACTGTTTCCGTACCCCATTCGGGCGTTCAAAGAGGACACGAGGGTGATCTTGCACATGTCGAGGAAGAAAAAACGGCATGACCATCAACGTTCGGAGCTCCGCGCGGGCTTCCTTCCTGGATCGGCGCTGGACCCGGCGCGCGGAGCGCGCGGGCTCCAGCGCCGTTCCGAGAAGTCCGCGCGGAGCTCCAAAGCCTCACGCTCATGCCGCCGTTCCTTCCGCTTGTGTCGGGGCGTGCGACAGCGTCGCGGACGTGGCCGTCAACGGCGTCTGGTTCCCGCAGCACGTGGGCGGCAGCACGCGCTTCGAGGCCGATGTCACCCAGGCCCTCCGCGGCGCGGCACCCGGCGCGGGCCCTGCGACGCTGCATGTGCGCTGCGCCGACCGCCTGCCCGACGACGGGGGACTGCAGCCCTGTGGCAAGCAGCTCCACCCGCGGGGCTACGTCGGGCACGGGCCGCACCTGCCCACGCTCTACTCCAACGTGACCGGCATATGGCAGCACGTCTGGCTCGAGGCCGTCAGCGCCAGGGCGCGCCTGGCCTCGGTGAAGGTGGTACCCCGCCACGACGAGGGCGAGGACCAGTGGTCTCTGGAGATCGACGCAATCCTGCCCAAGGGGTGCAGCCGGAGCGGGCTGCGTTTCGCCGCCACCCTGCTGGCCTCCCGCTCTCCGGGAGGCGAGGAGCTCCTGTCCAAGAGCACGTGTTGCCACAGGTGGCCTTGGCCCAAGGTGACCAGAGGCATCCCAGGGAGGGGTAGATGGCTTCCAGAGCATCCCTCACGATGCCCAGAGGGCCCCAGGGGGGTCCCAACATGGGGCAAGCTGGGAGCACTTTTCCAGACCTCCCAGAAGGGGTCCGAGTAGATGGGATCGGAGGATCGCGCCGTATCGCCGATGCCTCGGCGATGCGGCTCGCTGTGGAGCTCGACCTGCTCCGCGCCAACATCGCCGATGCATCGCAGACGTCGCTGGTGCACCGGCATTGGCGATGCATCGGAGAGGTAGCAGCGACGCGGCGGGATCCTTCGACCCCACCTGCTCGGACCCCATCTGGGGGGCCTCTACCTCCGCGCGGCCAGGGGCGCAGGCGGCTGGCCAGCCTGCGCAGGCCGCCGAAGTGCAAGACACCCCACCCTGGACCAAGAGACCTCGGCGGATTCCAGGGTGGGGGCTCTTGCGGCGGGTTTCCTGTGGATCGGCCCCCACTGCACTCGGGCCGCGTCTGGGATCCTGGAGGCCTCCAGCTCTGGGCCAGGGCCACGTGTGGCGACACCTGGCGAGAGCGTGGCGCTGGGCGCCGGCGAGCGCCGTCTGCGCCTCCGCGTGCCCCGGGCGCTGGCGAGGCGCTGGAGCCCAGAGGAGCCGCACCTCTACGGGCTGCGGCTGGAGCTCCTCGTGGGGCGCGAGGCCTAGCGGGCCCCCAGACGGTGTGGTGACAGCACCGCGCGGTGAGTCGGTGGGGATGGCGGGATCACCGCACGGTTTTGGGACTCGGGTCGTTCTACGAGGACGTCGAGGTCCCAAGGCCGTCCAGTGAGGTGACGGGCCGCACGGTGAGGCCTCTTGGAAATTCGAGGTCGCCACGCGCCCCGTCACCACACCGTTCTGGGCCCCGAAGAGGTGCTCGACACCGTGCTCTCGTACGCGGCGTTGCGCACGGTGCGCTGCCAGGGGGACCAGGTTCGGACGGGGCTAGGACGAGGATAATTCGTTCCAGAGCGTTCCAGAACGCTCTGAGAGCGGTCCAGAACGCTCCGAGAAGTCAGAGGCGCCCGAGACATCCTGCAGAGCCGCCGGATTTCAGAGATTCTCAAACTATCCTCACCCGATGTTATCCAAATCCTGGTTTCGTCTTACAGGTCTTCCTGAACGGGAGTCCGTACTTCCTGCGGCTAGTGCTCGACCAAGGATGGTACCCCGGCGGGCTTTGGACTGCGCCGTCCCCCCGGGCGGCACGCATGGACATTGTCCGCGCCCAGCGCCTTGGCTTCAACGGTGCGCGGTGCCACCAGAAGGTGTTCCAGCCGGCCTACTCAAGAGACTTGCGCGATTCCGCCGACCCCAGAGAGGAGGATGGGCGAATTCATGGGCTCCTCGCTGCCTCCGTAGGCTTCTTTGTATATTAGTCAATGTACAGTAGCTTAGTGCTCTGGACTCGTGTACCTGTTTGGGCCTCCGTTGGATGAGGGTAAGAGGGACAGCCAATCATCTCACACGCCTTCTCAACCCCCAGCAAGTAGGGGTCTGCGGACTTCTCGCACGCAGACGCTCTAGGCTTCCTGTGTTTCGCGGAGTACCCCGACTGGCCGGGCGGCCAGTCACGCCGTTGGTCGATGGGCGACGAGGAACGGTATCTGTCGACCATGGAGAGAGAGTGGCCAGACACGGTGGACGCATTGCACAACCACCCTTCCATCATTGCTTGGGGCATGTTCAACGAGATGGGTCCCAAGAACGGGTGGAAGTTTCAGAACGGCCCTGGTGGTGGCTTCAGAAATTGGGGGACGCCGAAAAAAAGGAAGGCGGCGCAAGAAGTTTACGAGAACCTCGTGGTCAGGGTGGCAAAGGCCATCCGCTCCCGCGACCTGCAGCGCAGGCCCATCCACGACGTGTCGGGCTGGATCCACGTGCCGCAGAGCAAGCCAGACGTCTGGTCGCTGCACGCCTACAACCAGAAGCCAGAGAACCTCCTGAAGGTGCTCACGGAGCCCCACGAGAAGTACGTGCACGGCAGGGCTGGGCAGCCCTTGCTGGTCGCAGAGTACGGGGGCGTGGGGCTCGAAGACGGCGGCCCGCTGCGCCAGAACCCTGGTGGTGGCCAGCACGGAGGGCCCGTCGGGGCGAACGGCAAGAACCCTCCGTCCTTCAAGATTGGTTATGACGGGACCCCTGGCCTTCCCAAGAGCGCCGCTGCTGCCCTGCAGAGGATCGACGACCTGACCGCCAGCATCTATAGCGTCGAGTCCGTCGCAGGCTTCTGCTACACGCAGCTCTACGACGTGGAGTACGAGAAGAACGGCCTGCTGCGCTACGACCGGAGCGCGAAGCGCGGGCTCCCCCTGGCCGCCTTGCGGAAGATCTTCTGATGGGCCCATGTTCCCCCACCACTACCATGGGCAGGACAGGGGAGAATGGAGGATGGGGAGGTCCTCCTCCTCTTCCTCCTCCTCCTCCTCCTCTCTCCCTCCTCCTCCTCCTCCTCCTCCTCCTCCTCCTCCTCTCCTCCTCCTCCTTCCTCCCTCTCCTCCTCTCCTCCCTCTCCCTCATCCCCATCCCTCATCCCTCCCTCCCTCCCCCTCCTCGTCCTCCTCCTCCTCCTCCTCCTCCTCCTCCTCCTCCTCCTCCTCCTGAAGGAACTTCCTCTCGCACATCGTTCGTCAGGATGCGATTGCGAGAGCTGCCGGCCACCACCCTACCTTCCTCCCCCTCTTTGTCTCCTTTGACCTCGCTGCTGCTCTCCCCTCCCTGTCCTTGGTGTTCCTCCATCATGTGCTCGCTCGGCACCGCATCCCGACCGGCTTCCGGAATTTGATCTCGGCTCTGTACATTGGAGCTGTCGCCCACACCCGCTGCGGCTCCCAGAGGCTCCCGCTCTTCATGGTGACCTCGGGAGTTGCCCCCAAGGTTGCCCCCTCTCGGGCACCTTGTGGGCCTTGATCATGGACCCGTGTCTCCGGCATTTGGCCGCGCAGCTTGAATCGCCCGAAGCCCTGTCCCTCTGCCCTGGGCCATGCCGGTGGACCCCAGGGCTAGAACCTGAGTTTGGCGCGACGGCGGACGATGTGGGCGCCACCCTCCCCTCGATTGGCCTCCTCCCTCTTCTTCACCCACGCTTCGCCGCCGCCCGCACGCTTGCGAATTTGGCGTTCCAGCCAGCGAAGTGCGCGGTTGTGCCATTAGGCGAGGCTTGCGATGAGGCCACGGTGCGAAAGTTCAAATCATCTCGCATCGCCTCGCTTATCCCTGCATGGGCAGACTTTGCCGTCAAGGGTGCGACCGATTTTCTCGGAATGAATTTCGGACCGCAGGCCACGATTGCTGAACAGTGGGTTCCCCCTGAGAGTAAATGGCGAAGCAGAGTTACGGAACTGGCCCACTCTAGTGCCCCGGCGGAATCATGCTGCCGTGTTTACAGTTTCGGCATAGTTTCGGTGCTAAGCTACGTCTGCCAACTATTTCCTCCTCCGCCTCCTCTCCTTGGCTCTGAGCGCCACGCCCTCCGCCTCCTCCGCCTCCCGCCCAACTCATTCGGCCTCTCGGAGCTCTTGGGGATCGGATCCTGGCTCCCGAGTGCCGCCTCGCCCGATTCGGGCCTTGTGCGCTGCCGCTGCCTGGAGAACCGCGATCCACACGTTTGGGACGGCGGGTGGGCGAGTTTGGCGGGGGGCTCTCGTGGATCTCAGGCAGCAGACGGAAATGCACGGAGGTTTTACGCTCGCGTGGGCTCCCGAGCCCGGCATGCTGGAGAAACCCGTCATCCATAGGCGAGTACTTTGAAAATCTGCGTTCGGAGTCCTGGGCCCCGCCGGGCATGGCCCGTCAGGCGTGGGACACGGTGACCCGTGCTGCACGGATCGAGATCCACAGCGCCCGGCTGGAGGCGAGACGTCTTCGCCCCCAGCGGATCTTGACTCGCTCTCTCACTTCCTCGCTCTTCCCCGACTCTTTCCCCTCCCTCCTTGCCCGAAGGATTCATGCGTGGCTTCCCCATGACCCCCAGATCCCGGTAGCGGCGCTCGGGCAGATATGGGGGGCGCTCCGATCCATCCTAGCTCGGTCTCCTCCAATTCGTGGGCTTGGACACACATCCAGACATTGTCCGGCGGATGGACCACGTCCGCACGAATTCCGAGCGCTACGGAGTGTCAGTGTTTGTTTGGATGCCAAGCCCCAGATTCTTTCCAACACTACCTTGTTTGTCCTCGTCTCCTCCACCTTCTCGCTTTCCCTCGTGATTTCCTCCCCGCCTGTCCTCTCACACGTATGGGGTTTAGCCCAGTACCCGATAATGAACTCGAGTATCCCCGCCAGCGCTGCCACCATATCGTAGTGCTGAGCTTCCATATTTACCACAAACTGAAAGCTGACCTTGCGGGCAGGCCAAGAGCGGCCACGCCCACCTACCATAACGAAATACGAGCCGCAGCCCTCGTCGCGATGCGATGGGCCCTGTCGGTAGCTGAGTCACCGTGGATTCAAGCTACGTGCGCTCCTCCTCCTCCTCCTCCTCCTCCTCCTCCTCCTCCTCCTCCTCCTCCTCCTCCTCTCCTCCTCCTCCTCCTCCTCTCTCTCCCTCCTCTCTCCTCCTCCTCCTCCCCCTCCTCCTCCTCCTCCTCCTCCTCCTCCTCCTCCTCCTCCTCCTCCTCCTCCTCCTCCTCCTCCTCATGTCCTTAGTGAGGTGGTGGAGAATCGGCCCATCGTCTTCTCGGGCCGACGGCAGCAGGGCCGCTGGCAGGGCGTGGGCGTGGCCCGCGTGCGCCGCACCCTGGCGAAGCGCCGGCCGCTCGTGCGCGCCGTGGCCCGGCGCGTGCGCGCGGCGCCGGCGGGCGGCGCTGACCGCGTGCGCCGGCACGGCGGGGCCCCATGCGCGGCCGGTGCTCGCGGCCCGTGCGCGCGGGGAAGACGGGAGCAGCGGCCTCCTCCTCTCTCCTCCTCCTCCTCCCTCCCTCCCTCCCTCCCGCTCTCCTCTCCTCCCTCCCTCCCTCCTCCTCCTCCTCCTCCTCCTCCTCCTCCTCCTCCTCCTCCTCTCCTCCTCCTCCTCCTCCTCCTCCTCCTCCTCCTCCTCCTCCTCCTCCTCCCTCCTCCTCCTCCTCCTCTCCTCCTCCTCCCTCCTCCTCCTCCCCCTCCTCTCTCCTCCCTCCTCCTCGTCCTCCTCCTCCTCCTCTCCTCCTCTCCTCCTCTCTCCTCCTCCTCCTCCTCCTTCCTCCCCTCGCCTCGTCCTCTTTTGTCCTCCCTTGCGAGCGTGCTCTGGGCCTCTTGGAGGGGTCCGAGCAGATGGTGTCGGAGGATCGCGCCGCATCGTCAATGCATCGACGATGCGGCTCGAGGTGGAGCCCGTGCTCCCCCGCGCCGACGTCACGGAGGTATCGCCGATGCATCGCCGATGCGTCGGCGATGGCTGGGCGATGCGGCGCGAGCATTCGACCCCATCTACTCGGACCCCATCTTGGAGGCGTCGACCTTGGGCCTCCTCCTCCTCCTCCTCCTCCTCCTCCTCCTCCTCCTCCGCCTCCTCCGCCTCCTCCTCCTCCTCCTTGTCCTCCTCCTCCTCATCCTTCGGCCCCATCTTGGAGGCGTCTACCTTGGTCCTCCTCCTCCTCCTCCTCCGCCTCCTCCTCCTCCTCCTCCTCCTTCCGTAGCCATTTTGGCTCAAGATGCTTTGTTCCCCAGGGGACCAAACGGATACCGCTAGTCCGCGGCTGCTTTCACATTCTCCGCCTGGTTCTCCCCAGGTGCGGAGCCCTGCTACAGTCAGCAGGGCCGTCAGCGCATGGGCCGCAACGTGGGCAACAATGGCGCGTGCGGCAAGGGCAAAGACAAGTCGGGCACCTTCGTCAGCTGCTCGGCTTGCCGCTATCGGTGGAACTTCAAGTCCAACCACTGGTGCTACCAGTGCTGCTCGCCGATGGTTCCGCACCCCTCGCCCGACAAGATGCCCACAGGCCAGTGGTCGTTCGGCCCGCCCATGCTCGCGTCGAACCCGTTCGACACCGCCTCGGGTGCGGCGCCGCCTGGGGGGGGCCATTCCAAGGGCCCTCCTGTTCCGCCGAGGGCCGCCAAGGGTGCACCCAAGGAGCGCCGGCCGTGGGTTTGGCATGGACCAGGCTGGTACCCCTACGGTGGCGGACCGCCGCCCGAGGAGCCGCGCGAGGCCCCCTTGCGCTGCTCCGCGAGAAGCTTGGCGACTGCGACGAGCTTGAGGTCCTGTCCGCCAAGCTGGCCGCCACGGAGCAGCCTGCCGCCGAGGCCCCTCGCCACCCGCCCCTTTTGGAGGAGGAGGTCTCTGCGAAGGGGATTGCGTGCAGGCGGGCGCAGGCGTGGCTTGAGACCTGCGCGCGGCGTGTCGTCGAGGGAGAGGCCTGGCTGGCCGACGCCAAGGCTGCTGAGGACGCGGCGGCAGAGGCGGCACACCAGGCCCAGCACGACTGGGAGGAGGCTTGCGCCAAGCAGCTCCCGACGCCATCGACGCCGCGGTCGGAGACGGCATCCGCTGCTACGGCCATCAACCTTTCGACGCTCGTCGACGAGGGCTCGCTGCGCTTCGTCGACGGCCCCCTCTTCGACCTGGTGGGCCTCGAGATCGACGAGACAGAGCGCACCGAGTGGGCTCGCATCAAGGGTGAGCTCGCCACCAGCGTGCAGGCCAAGGTCCAGGAGGCCTTGGGCCCCGCCGCTCAGCAGATCCTCGAGCTGCGGGAGGAGGCCCAAGCTCTCCACGCTAGGCTCCAGGCCAAGAGGCGCCGCGGCCAGGATGGCGGCCCCGCCACGGGCCCTGCGGACCCTTCGGCTACTGCTGCTGGGGCCTCTTCTGCTGGCGGCAGTGCGGCTGGATCGTCCCGTGGTGGAGGTGAGCGCAGCAGCGCCGAGGCCCTTCGAGCCGCTGCCAGAGCCAAGGCCAGTGCAGCTATTGACGAGAAGAAGCGTGACACGCAAGATGTTTAGCACCTGCGATTGCACGGCTGCGGTCACATATGGTGGCTCGCCGTTCCCGGTCTACGGGGACATCTTCCTCTCGAAGGATGACGAGCTCGCCTTCCTCCCCGACCTGGAGGTTTTCGGCCACTACAAGTTCTGCTATTCTCAGAGCGATGACGACTCTGAGTTCGAGGACAGGGTGATCCATTGCAATGATCAGAACCCTGCCAGGCGCGCGGCCCTTCATAATCGTCTGCTACTGGAGAGGCAGCTGCGGTCGCTTACTGGTGCTTGGGTACCCGACCCCAGCACTGTTGATGAATATTCGGATTTCGCCGACTGGCAGAGGATGTGCATCCCATACGTCGCCAGTTTCCTGGCAGATCCAGCACTACAGCCTCTCGTCCAGGAGGTTGCTGACACAGCAGGGCATGGAAACCTTGCGGTTGCTCAGCTGGACATGGCCAGGCAGATTTGCGAGAGAGCGTGGCATGCTCGCCGTCGTGAACGGCAGGCGTACCGTGACTGTCTCAACGGCCTCCGTCACATCGACTAC